TAAAAATATTCAATAGATTTTATTCAACCAAATTTATTTAAAAAAAAGAAAATGTACCTCATTGATTACTTCTTTTGCTTTAGAGCTGAATTTGTAACAAAATCCCCGCTCACAGTCATATTTTATTAAAATATAAAATATGACTGTAAGTGGATCTTTAAAAAAATAAAAGGAAAGAACATGATTTCTAAAATGAACTATCTTATAAACTTTCGTTACTTTGGAATAGATATATTTTTTTTATATATTTCTAAAATCGAAAACCAAAAATAAGCACATTTAAAAACATTTCAAAAACACTACGCACCCTGACAATCACTTGCTCAGCTAGGAACATGCCAGTTACTAGAAGAAAATACGAATCAAGATCAAATTTTTATGAAAGATTCAGCATGCAAACTGAAAAATTATTATTTTTTCGCTGAACATACAAAATATATATAAAAAAATAAGAATTAAATTTTTTTTAGTCAAAATATTTTTTTAAAAGATAAAGATTGCTAACTGCAATTTTTTTTTTTAATTTGACAATTAATTTCTTAATAAATAAATCAAATGACCTGCATTTGACCCTTTTATAATTAAATACAAGTCATCTCATAAATATAACAAAAAACATACAAGGCATAAATTGGTGCTCAATTAAATTAAAAGTAACAAGAATGTAATCAAGGGTTAATGAGTGTATCATTTAACCATTAAAACTGCCAAAACACCACTCGCTTTGACTTTTTATCAAACCCACTCAATATGAGAAAATAAATTGAAGAAAGAATCCCTTATACATTTTTCCTATGGCAGTTTAAGGGTTAATAATAAACATTCAAAAATTGCAGTACTGAGAAAATTGGGAAAGTAACAATACTCTTATTTACATTTTAAAAAAAAAATTAAAACTGTTTACGGTCATTCCAGAGTATTTGACTTTTTATGGCTAACAACAAAACTTGATATATAAATTAAAAAATAACTATTAAGAGAATCAAAACAAAACATTTAGAAAAATATTGTTAAAAAGAATAAAGAATATGTTGAAAATTTCTTATTCATATTTTTACAATGAAAAAAATACAAAAATTTAGATGAAAAAAAAAAAAAAAACCTTAGAACAAATACTGCAAAATGACCTTTTATACATAAAATTCAACCAGAGGTGCCAACTTTCAGAACCAGTTATCCACACTAAATATAATGCCCATATGACAGTTACAAAACTTAAATTATTGCAATTTTATAGTGTTTTTACTGCTAATATTATGCATGATTTACTATTATGTAAATAAAATAAAAAGCTAAGCGTTATTCTTTTTTTTTTTTTTTAATATTTGCTATCAACAATAACATTTCATAACTCTTGATAGCCAAAGAGGAAAAAAGCTTATTTATAATATAAAATTACTAAAATTGTCAAAAAGCGTAATTTTTATTACTCAACTTTTTAATCTTGATCACAAAGTCATAATAGTTATGAATAAATCATGTAAGTTGGCATCTCTGTTAAACTCATAACCAATGCAAAAGCATTAATTTAGATTTCACAAAAGCCATAAATATCTGGAGGAAACAAAACACACACACAAGACAATTTACTACTCCCAATCATATAACTCTGAAATATGTAACACTCTAATTCCAAAAAGATATGAGCCACTTATTTCTTCTTTAAACTCCAGGTCACTAATAGTGAAATAAACTATACACTTTTCATGTCAAACATATATCTTCATCATGAAAATTATGAAAGAAAACATTAAATAATAAATATTTTATAAATATAAACAGTTACATTAAATTATTCGAGTCATTAGCTGTAAATATATAAGCTTTCATAATCATGCACACATAAACACAATTTTACATAAAAGAATCTCTATATTACAGTAAATCTATATACATATTTTTTTCCCACTAATTACACATGGATATTTCTTCCTGTATTTGCATAGTTTTTTTTGAAAAAAATTACATGACAAACTGTATAAATATTGTTTTAAAAAAAAAAACAAGCATAGGTATTGTTTAAAATATTTGAAAGAATTCAAACAAAAAATTATTTAACATTATTTACTAACAAGGTAGGCACAGAGAACATTTTCTAGGAACAAAAGTGTAAAGATGAAATACATCTAAAACAGGAAATAGATTAAAGTGTTTTGAGATAATATTTTTGCTATATACAACTATTAAACTTAACAATACAGTTATTTTAAATATCTACAGTTGCTTTTTTCATCATAAAGTATTTTATAACAATTAAATTAGAAACTTATGAAAGGTATTTTACTTTATTTATTAACTCAAAGTTTTTAAATTAGGAAGAAATATGCGATTAACTGTCTTAAAAAGAAAGAGATAACTACAAATATGAACTGAACAGGTGTTTTGAAACAGTTAAAAATAAAAATCAAGCAATAAAACAGAACCCTTTTAGAAATCATCCCAATAAGTTAAGTGGGAACAGACAAATGAAAGTTAAGAAATTTTGAATGAACTATTAAGAACTACAGATACAAAACAAGAACTCATTATACTTATAAGATTACCAACCAAGCTTTATAGGTTTCATAGAATAATGTCAAATATAAGGAAAACTAAAAAAATTTCAAAAGAAAAAAAAAAAGATGGAAATTAATTAATTAAGTAAAGGTACCAATTAACAGTAAGTCTTAAATAGGTTAAATTAAAGAAAAATAATCAAATAAAAAAAAATTATTATTAGCAATAAGTCTGGGAGAGTAAACTTAAAATTTGAGAAAAGAAAAGTTGAATTCGTAAAGAAAATTATTAACAATAAATCTTTAGAAAGCTGACTTTCAATTACAAAAATGAATCATAACGACTATAAAAATATAAATGCATAATATTTAATAGGATTTATTTTAAGTAGCTTATGAAAGTAAAACCTCAAATCCAATAAATTACCAAACAAACTAAACAAGAATAATTAAGTTAAACAAGAATAATTAATTTTATAAGAAGTATTGCTTGAAAAAAAAGTACTTAAAATATAGTTTCTAAGCAAATATAATTTTAAAAATTAAATAGAGATTCAAAGATCATAAGTAACATCGACTTAACAAATATATTGAAGGTCGATAGTTCTTGCAATAAAAATAACTCCAATATAATGTTAAAATATTTTATGTAGCTCAAAAGGAGAATTTACAGGCTAGGGACAATATCGAGCATTATTACTAAATTATATTGATGTAAAAGCTGCTAAAATCAAAATAGAGTCTTTTTATACAACTAAACCATTGTGAAAAAAATTTATGTTTTGATTTTAAGTTAGACAATTATTAAATAATAATAATAATAAAAAAAAGGCCACTTTAAATGTACAATCAAAATTTATACTAAATTAAATTAAAAATGAATACAAAAAGAATAATATAAATACCAAATTGTCGCTAATTCTGACTTTTAATTTAAGAACTGAAAAATAGTAGTTTTTTGTTTGTTTGTTCTTATGTAGTAAAATAAGTAAGTGAACTTTTGAATATGAGTTAATTTAATTTAGATTAAGTTGTTATAAATAATTCCTGAGTTTCCATTAAAATCGATTTAAATCACACAAAAAAGAAGAATCATAGAAGAAAGATTTTGAATTGAGTCAAAGCAAATTGCAAAATCAATGCCAATCAGCTCTTAACAAGGAGAAATGAAAATGCAAAAATTAATAGAAAAAAAAATATTTCATTATAATTTTCTATACATCTTTTATTGAATACTTATTATCTTAAATATACATTATTGTATCTTAATTTTAATCACAAAAAAAAAAAAAAAATTAAAAATATTTACTTATTAAAATTTTTTTTAAATAATCGAAAGTTGATATTTGCATGAGAATGAATTAGTAACCGAGGAGTGAAACAAATCACAAAAATTGATGCCCAGATTTAGTTTAACACAAAAGCTGAAAATTAAATTTACTCATAAAATAGTAATTCACCCATTCATTTGATTTAGAAGAAAAAAAATCTAAGTAAAGATGATTTTTGAGAAGAATATATTAACATTTCCAATATTATTTGCAACAGATATTAAGAAATTGAACGAGCTTCAAAATCGATACACCTAATTTCAATTAACACACATATAAAGTACACAAAGAAATTTTTTTATAAATCTTTGTTAGAATTTAAAAAAAAAAAAAAATCTACAAGACATTTAAAATAAGTGCATTTTTACAGTTGTCAATATTTGCATGAACATGGATTAAAAGCACATTGACAGAGGGCCATGTGAATTCTAAAAACAGGGATGCACCACAGTTTTTTAGAGGACTAGATAGATTAAAATCATTGAGTCAAGTTAAAATATATATAATCCATCAACAGTCATTAATTTCATATAATCTTTTATCTTAATCATTCAAATGTAATTTAATACTGAAAATTTTATCTCTGTTATTTTCACATTGGGAGAGATTATCAATTACCTTTGTACAACAACAATAATTTAATTAACTAACCTCTCCATCATAAAATAAGGACTTTGTTATTTTGTACAGGTGAGTGAAAAATATATACATGCATCAAGATTCTAAACCAATGGCTCATAAACCCCAAGAAAACCGCAGAAATATTTCATCCGGAAAAAAAATATATAAATATTCAACAAAATTAATATTTATGAAACATTTGGATTTGTTAAAAATCATTGAAAATTTCCACCCAGCATTAATCTCATAATATTGTTAACAAAACAATTTTCTTTACATGTAAAAAGTTTAAAAAAATTTCATAGATCCTAATGGTTAAATTTAAAAAGCAAATTTCAGCTTTTAGAACTAATTTGAACAAATTACCCAAGCTTATTTTTCTGCTCATATATTAAAATGTAACACGTGCATTATAGCTAAATGGTTAAAAGCTTGTCTATAAACATTATTATTGCGAGATAATGGATTCAAAATTTCAGTTTCAATTAGATATCAAGGTTTTAATTTTTTTTAATTTCATTTACAATTACATTTCAATTAAAAAAAAAATAGGTTAAAAACTAGTATTTTCAAGTAGTTTTATTATGAATTCATTTTTAAACTAAAATTGATATAAAATAATATCTATTTCTTACTTAACATAAAGTTGAACAAGAATTTATGTACTTGTCAGATTTTTGTTTTTAATTTATTTAAACTACATACTTACATGCTAAACTTGTCACCATTGACAATTTATTTTAAAAGTTTAACTATCAATACAACGTTTTCCTAATATTTATTATTCTTAATAACTTTAGCTAAAAAAATATATGTTTGGTACTTAGAATATCAGAATTAGATTTATAAAAACAAATGGGAATTTTTTAAGCTTAGGGGCCCATGCTCTTACAATGGTTTAGAATCCCTGATCTCTATGAAGAAATTTGCAAGCATTACTAGCTTCTACTAAATGTACATTTTAAACTTCTAGGGGTGACACTCCTTTCTCTCATTGAATATCGATGCCTACAGTCATTATCATCCCTGGATGTCGGACTCTCAGGGGACATGTCACCGTTAATTTTGGAAGGAAACTCAGACACTGAGTTCTCAGAGTTGGCATTGATGTCGTTACGTACAATATGGAATGCTGCTGGGACATCGGAAGATGAAGATGAGTCATTTGGTTCCTTCCTTATCCGGATAACTATCCGAGTTGGGGCAGGAGGCTCAAATGACGCAAGCCTTGGCAGTCGTGTATCTTCAGAATCCCAGTCAGGCGAACTTTTGTCATCTCTTTGGTCAATGCCCTCTGAAACAGTGCTCTGGTTGGTTTCCTTAAGAGGTAACGGATCTGAGTGATCTAGTTTGACACTTGCCCTCCCTCTTCTCTTACGACCTTTCTTACGGCGAGAGGGTGAAATTATGTGCTCCTTACCATTCCTCAAGGACATTGTAAAACTACTTTGATTGGAATCAGAGAGTTCCAACATGCTGTCACACAAACTAGTCTTTTCATTGTCAAGATTTGCAGCGTCTTTATTTATAGAAATATCATTGGGAATAGCTTCCAATCGAGGCAGTTTTCTTGGCCTTCCAGGTCTTTTTCGTTGAATTTGTGGGGAAACTTCTCCATTGATTTCATTTCGCTCAGTATTTTGAGAAACAAAAGTAAATTCTTCTATACTATTACTGGGGGATGATTTAAACTCAGTTCCATCTGAAGTTGAAGCATAGGTATCAACTGAGTCGATAGATTTTTCAGATGCTGCATCATTTTCTAAATTAATTTCTGTAGAATGAAATCTATTTCTAGTTGGATAACGTGTGCTGCGTTTATCAAGTTTAGAATTCTTCTTAGATTGAGAAATAGTAATGATTTCATTATCAATATGCTCCTCTATGAGTATTTCATTTTTTGAGCCATTTACCTCAAAAATGTTATTTTTTATTTCAGCATGGCGGGCATCATTCTGACTTCGAGTTCTTTTCACTTTAACAGGTTTCTGAGCATTAATATTCTCCTTATCACTCAAACATAATGAAATTTTGTCTGAAGCAATTTCATTTACATGCACAGGCTTTTTAGATTTAACACTTGTATTTTCATAACTACCTTTAAGCATTTCAATATTGTTTGATTCTAATTTAACAGGACTTTGAGTCTCTGATATATCGATGCTTTTTTCTAAAACTGCCTTAGGCAAAACAGGAATATCTGAGTTAGTTTCGGTAGTTTTCTGATTATTCTCACTTTCTGCCGTCGGTTCTATTTTAATTACAAAAGGAGAATGAGTGAGTATTGGTTGCTTTCTTGTTTCAATGGTGCTTACATTTTCTTCAGATTTACATTTAACTAAAACCGGCATATCTCTACTGTCATTATCAAAATTATCAGAAACACTTTGAGTTGTTGTAAGCCTTCGTGAACGGGTATGGATGTTGTTAGGGTAGGGTTTAGAATAAGGGTTAGGGAGTTTAGGCGCAAGTTCTTTCTCCGGAGTTTTCTCTTTTTCCTCCTCAAGAGAGACACAATAAAACTTATCATACAGGTTATCCCCACCTCTGCATTTTACAATTTCTTTTATTTCTTTTTCTGTAAGGTTTGGAGATTCTTCATTCAGCACTTCTAACTGCTTCTCAAAGACATCGTTCCGGGTCCTCAGGTAAGAACGAAAAAGCTTTTCTCTTCGACTGATCATGTAGCAAAGGTTTCTCACCTGTAAAGAAAGAACAATATGCATCAAATACATTTTAATATAGAAAATAAATATTCATAAACACATATTAACTTTTCACCTGTTTTATTCGTAAACTTTAGAATAGAATCATGAAAATGGTCAACCATATTAAGATGCAAATAAAAACTAGTTACAACATAAGCTAAAGTGAGTCAAAAATATGTGTTTGGGATTTCTTGAAGCGATAAAATTACAAGGTAAATAAGATAATAAATCTTCTGTATTTGTATGTAACAACCAGAAATAAATAAAAGTAGAGAGAAACTAAAAGAAAAGCCACCACAAGCCAGATACACCAAGTTATTTTTTGTTTTGTTTTAGCAAATAAACACATTTTGATGCAAGATGATAAATGTGAATTTTTATTTTGCAATGGCTAAAGAGATAAAACTACGAATTTCAGAAAATTAATTGATTGAGAAATACTTTTTCAACAGTAATAAATTTTGTAATACGTATCACTAGCTGAATACCAGTTCCCTGTACAGGGTGAAAAAAATCAATACTAAAAATTATGCATAATGCATAAAACTGTAAGACAAATACCAATATAAAAAAAAACTACAATTCTAATGATTTTTTTTAATTTATTATTTGCTGCCTATTTCAATGGCTTTACATTATTAAATTAAACCAAACATGTATTTAGTAGTTTATCCCATCAAAATAAAGATCAACTGTATTCAGTATCATCTGGCACAATGCTAGTGCTCAAGGCAACTCATGATATTTAAAATTTATCACAATCAATCTACTTTCTTCTGTACTTTCTATCTACTTCTTCTGTATCTTTCTATCATAAAATGTATAGTATTGGTGCAGCTCTTATCGGCACCAAATTTACTCATTTAAGTCCTAGAACCTATATAAGAGTATATTTCATGCCTATTAAAACTGAATCAATTACCATGATGCCCGTAGTGACGATTACCAAAATTAAGCATTATTGGTGTTTATAATAGTATAGCAATTTTTTACGGATCCCCATAACAAATAAGTACATTTTATCTATTAATTTTTATTTTTAGTTCATTGCTTATTTTTATTTCAATAATTAACTATTATCAAAATTAATTTATCATCACTGATATCAATAATTCTTTATGCTCTCTTAAACAAATAAGTAGCATTTCTAAATTAATTTTGCTTCTTAGTACATAGCTTATTNTTCGTTATTAATTTTTTTTTTAATAGTCTTTCTCTCAGAAAATTATTTCATCTTAAATAACTTTCCTTGAAAAATTTTTTTGCTACTAAAAAATATTTCGTCGGAAGCGCCGCTGCATCGGAAGCGCCGCATGTAGGAAAAAAACAAATTTTTTTTCGAAAGCGCCGCGGCGCTTCCGCCGAAAAATACGGTACTAATAAAATTAACTATCATTGACATCAATAAAAATATTACAAATTGGTTCTATTTTTCTATTAATAATTGCTTTTCAGTATAAAAATTATTTTATTTTTTATTTCAATTACATTCGATTTTAAAATATGCAGTTTTTCAGCAACACATTTTAAAAGTTTAACTATAAACAAAATGAACATGTGGTTTCAGATTTTAGGAATACTAATTTGGTGACAAAGTCCTACATATGCTAACAAAATCACAATTATTCAAATAACCTGGCATAATGAATAAACAATTAAGTCTCACAAAATGCGCAATAAACAATTTGATATGAGTTACAAGCTAGAAAATATCACTGATGTTATCTTTAAAATATTTAACAAAACAGTCTATAATTTAACTGTCTAAAATAGTCTATAATTTATTTTAAAACAATAGTTTACGCTAGGACAATAAGAAATTTTTTTTTAAATGTCCCAGTCTCAAAATATACTTTTTTTTAAAAAAAATGGGCTGCATAGTTTGTTTAAAACTGTACTTACTGAGCTTCATGTCTAACGTCATATTTTTAGAGCTTACAGTATATTGGCGATCAAGTATACAGACAGACAAATATTCTTTATTTCATAATAAGCTATTACAAAATTGGCCAGGCATTAAAAAGCCACAATTAAAAGCTTAGTAAAAGTCATATTTTTTAAAATAAATGCATGAAAAAATAAAATAAATAAAAATTCTATCTTAAATGGTATGTATTCTTGTAAAAAGTAAGAAATTAGCAAATAATATTTTTAGCACTTTCAGTTCCATTTTATCAAAATATTCCAGCATAACATAGTTAATGATGCCAAAATAAAAACCAAAAAATTATAACCATGACAAAAAGAAAGTGGCTAAAATTTTTATTGCAACAATAATTTACAAAAATATAAATTTTTTTTCTGAAATAAAAATGAAGGTTTACATAAAGTCATCAACATCAAGCATTTGCTTAACATAAGAAGAAAAAAATATCAATGTGGGTTGAAAAGTTATGAAACGACAAAAATAAAAATGCTACACAAACTTTAACAGAATTGCAAAATAATTGGTTTCGTCAAAAAAAGTCAAAGGGTGCCCTAAAATTCACACAAGATTAGAATTTTGTGCTCCATTTAGACAATAAAACAGGAAGAAAAGACCGCCAGACAGCTGAAGGTTCCATGTTAGGCTGACAACCCCAAATGGAACACCTGCTCCTGTACCTAAAACGCCAAGGACAAAAAAAGAAAAAACTGGGATAGGTACAATAGGTTTAAGGGCTGTGCGTGTGATGAGTATGGGCTGTTACGCCACTAAATTCAGGGTTAAAGTAAATAAATTCACATCCCTTCATACCTTAAAGAAGGAAATAGAGCAGTGCAAAAAATAGAATTATACAGAACATAAATTTAAAATTTGGCCAAAAGAGTGTGATATTCCAACGAAAATTAAAATACTTTTTCCAGACACTCTATTTTGCACATTTTATAAATCAATAAAAATTTACAGTTTTTAATTATAAGTCTGTGTTTAAATTAATTTTTGAATGAATTAAAGGTCAACTTGTTCCTACAGCTATGTTTTTTTTCCCCTAAAAAATTTAAAAACTTAGTAAATCCAAAGTTTTGAAATATATCTTGTTCGTGCATCATGCAACACATATGGCAATTCTTTAAACAAAATAAACTATTTTACTTTCACAAAATATGTAAGAGAGAAATATAATAAAAAGTTTGGGTTTTATGATTTGAGGTGCACTGTGGGTGAAAAGAGATATACTCACTAATCAAGAATAATTTTGCCATCATTTGTTTGAGGTAAAGAAAGAACATTAGAGGTTTAAGGTAGCTGGATACTTTCACAAAGTTTATTTTCCTTAGGAACAGCTTAAAAGTCTAAATAAAATTAGAGTTTTAATTATTTCTGTAAGTTAAAATGAAATGTTCCCATTTAAATAGCATAAAGTTAAGTTTATTTAAGTTTATAAATTTATATATAACCTATTACCTCTAAAAATAATCCATACACAGATAAATTATATTATTATATTTAACATAAAAATGGCAATATTTCTATTAACGTAAAAGATATGAGAGTCATAATGTAAATAAAAAATTTTGATATTTATTTTACATAATAAGTTATTAGCAGATCTAAAAAGTTGAAATTGTTTAAATGTCAATCTTTATCAATCACTTAATTTTAAATATTTATTTGGCAAGTTTTTATATATTTTGATAAATTTTTAAAAACAATGTCAACATTTTGGTTTATCTTTTCAACAAACAACTTTATTTTTAATAATTGAGTTTTAACAAATAAATCTTCGAAATTAAAATAAAATGAGTAAATAACTTTTCTCCCTCTCTCTAACATCAGTGATAAGTAAGTAGTTCAATTAATTTATAAGATTTGAAGCAAATAATTTGTTTAGTAACACTAGTTTTACAGTTCAAAACTTATTTTAAAAGTTGAACAACATGAAAAATAACAAGCGTGAAAGAATATTCAATGGACAAATTGAAAATGCATATAGTTCAACAGCTATATTTTATAAAGAATTTTAAATTATAATGATACTGTTTATGTTATCCCGGTGCATTTTCTGGGAGTTTATATTTAAATTTCTTACTATATGATTTGGTCTGATTCAAACAAGCGTTCTTTTAAAACAATTAAAAAAATCTATACAGATAAGAAAGTGTAATTAAAATTAATGACTCCAAAATTTTTGATAACTGAGGATAGTTTAAAAGCAAATATAGTAACTGTAACTAATAAAATTTAAAAAAAAAAAGGCTTTTTTTCACAAAAAAAATTTAACTTAGCATATTTTTTCTCGTCTGACCCACACTTTGCAAATTTTAAGTTTATTTTCATCCAAATTGCTTGTATACTAAATAAGACTCTCCAGCTACCCAGGAATAAAAGAAACATAGATAAAGATGAATACCACCTCAGAGGTGGTTGAAAATTGAAGTGACATATAAATCATGATTGAAGGATATTTTATCTGTAATTTATCTCATCATAGTGGGTAAACTCGTAACTGAAAAACTTTTTAAAAACTTCAATTGTATTACCAAAACAATTTTTGAAGCACTTATGATAAAAATAAAAAAAAGCACTTTCTTATAAAAAAAATTGTGCTTGCACATTCTACTTAAAACATACATAAAGTTTTGGATTAAAACATTAAATATTATGAACATAATTTAATTGTTTGTAGCTAAGATAGCTGCTGCAAAATATCAACAGTGGAATGAGATTTTAATAGAAAAAATGAACAGTCGAGGAAAAAAACTTTTCCTTCTTTTTTGTAGTACAAACCAATTTTCGAACCTAATATTTATGTGTCAGACCTCTGAGGAACAAACTTGCTGAGGTTGGTTATTCAAAAAAATTAATAAATAACAAAGGAAATAACATATTTTAAATATGATTTATATAAATTACAAATGTTTTCACAAAATAAAGTATTTTTAAAATACTACCCACGGACAAAATTATTCTTGATTGATAATAGGAGAAAAAAATCACATTAAACCAACAGCAATTAATTGGCAAAAACATGCAAGATAAAAAAATTTATTTACAGCTAATCACTTTATGATGAAAAAAATAAATATAAACTGCTGCATATTAACTATGTAAATATACAATTCAATTATGTCAAAGCATAAAATATACAGTTTAATATATATATAAAAACACAGAATGCAAGTGGTTTATGACTTAACTTATACAAACATGTTAAATAATAATCATAAGAAATACATCATAAGAAAATAATTAAAATAAAAAAACTTTGAACTTATTTTGTTGTTAAACTATAATAATAATTAACGGAATGAGAGTAGAAATAAAAAATATTACCCTTTCTAGATCTTGGCGCAGATGAACAAACATTTTAAGCCGAGAATAAAGAAGATTCTCATGTTGTTTGATTAAAAGGTTAGCTTCATCACATTTAGTGATTAAAAGAGGTTTATTGAACTGTGCCTAGAGTAAAATAACAAAACACAATGCATTTTATTAATCATTCAATTCACAATTTATATATTTCTATGGAAATAATCTTTTTATACAAAAAATCAAAAATTATAAATTCAAAAAAAAAAAATTCTAAAATACTAAAAGTAATAATTATAAAAAATTCTAAATTATACAACACTGATTTAGGAACTTATACTAAACATAAGCAAGGAGTGTACTTCTGCAACTTTTGAAATTCAGTGTAAAAAATTTTGTTTCGCTTTATCTTAGAGCAACGGTTCCCAAACAATGTACCGTAGAATCCTGGAATTCCATAATAGGCATACAGAGTTTAAATTTTTTAAACCAGTAATGATTTTTGAAACCTGACGTTATATTTAATAATTTCAAACAACAAACCATCTTTAATTTGATATTTTGGAATAATAAAGATAGTTAAGTAAAATTTTTAAAAAAAATTGCAAATTTTTTTAAAAATATTTTTTTTTATAACAATATATTTAATAGATTATGAGAAAGATATGCATTTCTAAAAAATTTAATTATTATTTTGTATCGAACTTTTCAATTAATATAAAATGATCATTTCCTAGAATAAAGAGTTATGTTTCTCTGATAATAATTCTCAGCATTTATAAAAGTTCTTTTTTAGAACTATAATTCAGTGCACTTAATTTGCTTTAAGCTTATGCATACACAAAAAACAAATTCAGAACTAGACTAAATGTCACTCCAAGCTTGTGAATTCAACTATTCGTCATAAAACTTATAATTCTAGGTCTATTTATTATTGACAAAAAGATGACTTAATGAATGTCATTCTTCACATTAAATATGATCAAAATAATTTGTAGTTGTTAAACTGGTTAGTATTATATCAATTGCATTTATTAACTTAGAGTTACCTTAAAAAGATGCTTGATCATTTAAAGTTATGAAGCCATAAAAAATTAGGAACCACTGTCCTAGAATTCTACCTGCAACCCGGGGAATGGGTACATCTCAAAAATGGTCAACAACGTGCAACCTCTGAATTTAAGAACTTAAAAACTTCTAAATTTTTAATTTTCAATGAAATTTTTATTACAATTAAGCAAGGTTTTGACAATTGTAGTTCAGGATTTATTAAAAATGAAAAAAGAGTAATTTAATTAGAATTAAACAATATTGCAAAGTAAGGGGTCAACAAACTACTTTAAGCATACCTCTGAAATCACTAATTAGGGTTCCCTGTACTTATAAATAGAACTTTATTCTATCATGGATTCAATTAGTATGTTTATGTACGAAAGCAGAGGAAACATTTACTATCTAAGATCATTGGAAATTCTGCATAAAACACAATATACAATATATAAATTAATAAGTAATTAAAAATTTCTCACTTTTCTTTTTAAGAGCCAATAGTAGTACAAATAAGTTACTATATCATATTCCACTTTGGTAACTTCAACTGTTTCTTTAATGCTAACGTAATTATAAAATTCAGCTTCAAGTGAACGAATTCTGCAATAAATAAATTAATAAGCATTTAAAACAAGCAATGAAGAAAAAAGTTATGATTACAATTTTACAAATTAAATTAACAGTGCTATAAAGATTCCCTGAAAGCTTTAGAAGAAAAATTGAGTCTGACAGCTTCTGACAATTAACTAAAGTTTAAACCAGCAGCAAACAGTTGTAGTCAAAGTTAGGGCAATTTGGCTAGAACCAATTCAAAGTCGTGACAAGACTGATACCTGAATGGAAATGAAGTAAAACTTCTGAGAATCCAGAACACTTAAAGCCAGAAACCTGGTATAGTGCATACAGAGTCTTCATAAATAACAGTCACACTAGAGGTAATACATAGTGCTTCTTACATTAAACCTGATAAAACCTCCTGGTCAGGAAGAGGAAATCAATACTTTTTTAAAGTAAATAAACACAAAAAACAACTTTTCCTAATTTTAAAAGGAATTTTTTTGAGGGCACAAATTCTGTCGGTGTATCGAATATCATGTTACCAAGCGTTAAAACTCAGTAGTTAGAGATGAAACCTACCATGGAGTTATCACTGGAATTAATCTAGCACAGGGCTCGAAAAACCACCCGTCCGCCTGTCCTCGGCGGTCAAAAATACCCCGCGGACAACAAATTTCTCGAATCCAAAGTCCGCGTGGACGGCCATTTTCTCGTTAATGTTCGTGATATATTTTCAATTTTTGTTATCTTACAAGAGTCTAGCTCCTCACTTCTAAAATGAATCTCTAATCTCGAAATACAGCAACACACTGCTCATGGTGGAAGAGTAATGGATGTTTTCTCTGTCTTGGAGTACTGCAGCGGTTGAAAGGGGCTTTTCAACAACAAACTTACAAAAAAAAAACACATTACATACTGGTCTTAAACAACAAGCGTCAACCGCAATTATGAGCATCCACCTAAATGGAAAGCCTCTTTCAGATTTCTGAGCAGAAACCTTTGTAAATCATTGACTTGATTGTGGAACTGGCAAACGTTGTATCTGATTCATTTAAAAAACGCAGTACCATCGGATAAATTGACATGATAATAGACAGATAACTTGACCTTTGTTATTTAAATTATTTCATTAAAGAAATAAATTATTTCATTAAAGAAATAAATTATTTCATTAAAGAAAGAAATTATTTTATTAAAGAAATACTAGGTTTAAAGATCTAGTATTAAGAAATACCTAGTATTTATTTTATTACTGTATAATGTTATCCTAGAATTTGTAATCCTAGTAACTACTAATTCATTGAGCAATTTATATAAATGTTAGTAATAAATAAGAGAAAACTATATTTTTATTTATTTAGAAGCGACGTGTTAGTTTCAAAGGAGGATGGGTACATTGTTGGACAATCCGTCCTCGGGGACGGATAAAATTTCTGAGTTTTTTCGAGCCCTGATCTAGCATCAATTATACAACCTAGTTCACTATTGTGTCAGAGAAAAGTCAGCTAATTGCGCAAGCCTTGAGTTTAATTTTAAGGAGATCCAGGTTCAGCAGAAAATTATTTTATAATGAAGAAAACAAATAACAAATTCTCATATTTTGAAATTTATTTCGTTTGGTTGTAAATTCTATAAGTGTACCAAATATCATGTTTCCAAGTGTTAAAACTCAGTAGTTAGAGATGAAACCTACCAAGGAGTTATCACTGGAATTAATCTAGCATCAATTATACAACCTAGTTCACTATTGTTATTGTGTCAGTGAAAAGTCAGCAAATTGTGCAAGCCTTGAGTTTAATTTTAAGGACATCTAGGTTCAGTAGATAATTAATTTAGAATGAAGAAAACAAATAACAAATTCTCATATTTTGAAATTTATTTCTTTTGATTGTAAATTCTATCAGTGTACCAAATATCATGTTTCCAAGTGTTAAAACTCAGCAGTTAGAGATGAAACCTACCAAGGAGTTATCACTGGAATTAATCTAGCATCAATTATACAACCTAGTTCACTATTATTTAAGTGAAAAGCCAGCAAATTGTGCAAGAAAATATACTGAGAATTCTAACGAGATCAATATCAAGTATAAAATTATTTATAAGGCCAAGAAGACAAATAACCAATTTTCTTATTTTAAACTTCAAATATAATGTTTCCAAGTGTTAAAACTCAGTAGTTAGAGATGAAACCTACCAAGGAGTTATCACTGGAATTAATCTAGCATCAATTATACAACCTAGTTCACTATCATGTAAGTGAAAAGTCAGCAAATTGTGCAAGAAAATATGCGGAGAATTTTAACGAGATCAATATCAAGTAGATATTGTTTTATAAGGCTAAGAAGACAAAAAAGTAATTTTCTTATTTTAAACTTCAAATATCATGTTTCCCAGTGTTAAAACACAGTAGTTAGAGATGAAACCTACCAAGTAGTTATCACTGGAATTAATCTAGCATCAATTATACAACCTAGTTCACCATTTTGTAAGTGAAAAGTCAGCAAATTGTGCGAGAAAATATGCTGAGAATTTTAACGAGATCAATATTAAGTAGAAATTTATTTATAAGGCTAAGAAGACAAATAACCAATTTTCTTATTTTAAACTTCAAATATCATGTTTCCAAGTGTTAAAACTCAGTAGTTAGAGATTAAACCTACCAAGGAGTTATCACTGGAATTAATCTAGCATCAATTATACAACTTGTTTCACTATTGTGCAAGTGAAAAGTCAGCAAATTGTGCAAGAAAATATACTTATAATTTTAAAGATTTAAAGAGATCAATAGGCAGTAGAAATTTATTTCTACGGCTAAGAAGACAAATAACCAATTTTCTTATTTTAAACTTCAAATATCATGTTTCCAAGTGTTAAAACTCAGTAGTAAGAGATGAAACCTATCAAGGAGTTATCACTGGAATTAATCTAGCATCAATTATACTACATAGTTCACTATTATGTAAGTGAAATGTCAGCAAATTGTGCAAGAAAATATACTTATAATTTTAAAGAGATCAATCGGTAGTAGAAATTTATTTCTACGGCTAATAAGACAAATAACCAGTTTTCTTATATTAAACTTCAAATATCAGATTTCCAAGTGTTAAAACTCATTAGATAGTGATGAAACCTATCAAGGAGTTATCACTGGAATTAATCTAGCATCAATTATACAACCTAGTTCACTATTGTTATTGTGTCAGTGAAAAGTCAGCAAATTGTGCAAGCCTTGAGTTTAATTTTAAGGACATCTAGGTTCAGTAGATAATTAATTTATAATGAAGAAAACAAATAACAAATTCTCATATTTTGAAATTTATTTCTTTTGGTTGTAAATTTTATCAGTGTACCAAATATCATGTTTCCAAGTGTTAAAACTCAGTAGTTAGAGATGAAACCTACCAAGGAGTTATCACTGGAATTAATCTAGCTTCAATTATCCAACCTAGTTCACTATAATGTAAGTGAAAAGTTAGCAAATTGTGCAAGAAAATATGCTTATAATTCTAACGAGATCAATATCAAGTAGAAATTTATTTATAAGGCTAAGAAGACAAATAACCAAATTTTTTATTCTAACTTCAAATATCATGTTTCCAAGTGTTAAAACTCAGTAGTTAGAGATGAAACCTACCAAGGAGTTATCACTGGAATTAATCTAGCATCAATTATACAACCTAGTTCACTATTATGTAAGTGAAAAGTCAGCAAATTGTGCAAGAAAATATGCTTATAATTTTAACGAGATCAATATCAAGTAGAAATTTATTTATAAGGCTAAGAAGACAAATAACCAATTTTCTTATTTTAAACTTCAAATATCATGTTTCCAAGTGTTAAAACTCAGTAGTTAGAGATGAAACCTACCAAGGAGTTATCACTGGAATTAATCTAGCATCAATTATACAACCTAGTTCAGTATTATGTAAGTGAAAAGTCAGCAAATTGTGCAAGAAAACATGCTTATAACTCTAACGAGATCAATATCAAGTATAAATTTATTTATAAGGCTAAGAAGACAAATAACCAATTTTCTTATTTTAAACTTCAAATATCATGTTTCCAAGTGTTAAAACTCAGTAGTTAGAGATGAAACCTACCAAGGAGTTATCACTGGAATTAATCTAGCATCAATTATACAACCTAGTTCAGTATTATGTAAGTGAAAAGTCAGCAAATTGTGCAAGAAAACATGCTTATAACTCTAACGAGATCAATATCAAGTATAAATTTATTTATAAGGCTAAGAAGACAAATAACCAATTTTCTTATTTTAAACTTCAAATATCATGTTTCCAAGTGTTAAAACTCAGTAGTTAGAGATGAAACCTACCAAGGAGTTATCACTGGAATTAATCTAGCATCAATTATACAACCTAGTTCAGTATTATGTAAGTGAAAAGTCAGCAAATTGTGCAAGAAAACATGCTTATAACTCTAACGAGATCAATATCAAGTATAAATTTATTTATAAGGCTAAGAAGACAAATAACCAATTTTCTTATTTTAAACTTCAAATATCATGTTTCCAAGTGTTAAAACTCAGTAGTTAGAGATGAAACCTACCAAGGAGTTATCACTGGAATTAATCTAGCATCAATTATACAACCTAGTTCAGTATTATGTAAGTGAAAAGTCAGCAAATTGTGCAAGAAAACATGCTTATAATTCTAACGAGATCAATATCAAGTATAAATTTATTTATAAGGCTAAGAAGACAAATAACCAATTTTCTTATTTTAAACTTCAAATATCATGTTTCCAAGTGTTAAAACTCAGTAGTTAGAGATGAAACCTACCAAGGAGTTATCACTGGAATTAATCTAGCATCAATTATACAACCTAGTTCACTATTGTGTCAGTGAAAAGTCAGCAAATTGTGCAAGAAAATGTACTTATAATTTTAAAGAGGTCAATAGGTAGTAAAAATTTATTTCTACAGCTAAGAAGATAAATAACCAATTTTCTTATTTTAAACTTCAAATACCATGTTTCCAAGTGTTAAAACTCAGTAGTTAGAGATGAAACCTACCAAGGAGTTATCACTGGAATTAATCTAGCATCAATTATACAACCTAGTTCACTATTGTGTCAGTGAAAAGTCAGCAAATTGTGCAAGAGAAAATAGTTATAATTTTAAAGATAGATAAGTTTCTATTAGATCAATATCTAATAGAAACTTATTTCTAAGACCAGGAAGACAAATAACAAATTTTCTTATTTTAAACTTCAAATATCATGTTTGCAAGTTTTAAAATCCGGTAGTTAGTAATTAAATGCAAAGGAATTATCACAGGATGAAGTCTAGCATCAATTATACAACCTAGCTTACTATTGTGTAAGTGAAAAGTCAGAAAACTGTGCAAGAACTAATTTTTATTCTAAAGAGACCGTAGATAGCGAGCAATATTTTCAAAAGTTAAGGCATGACACTTATTTCTTTATGGATGAGGATTTAATGAACCCACATATTTTATTCTACAGGATTTCAAAACATTTATTCATTCTAATTGACTTATGCTGCACAACTGAAGGTGTTCATAGAGGTATGAAAGGCAACTTTCTAAAAGACAAAACTTGCTCACCCTTTCCAACAATTTATTCACAAATTTTGTATGTTACACTAAATGTAAATCAAAACAAATGCTTTACTTAGAAAAGTTTTTTAACCCATAGCAGGCAAAAATGAATAAGAACTTTCTGAAATATTCCTGAAGTATATATTCCTAAAATATAAAACAGGGAGAGTAGCCAAATTATTCAACAAAAAATAAGCACCTTTTAAGCTTTTTTCAAGCACTCAAAAAACATTTTTAAGCACTTTAAAAAAATCGCAATTAGGCAGGGTTAGAAAGTTTTTGACAATCGACGGTTTTATCTTGTTTTATCCGTCATGTCAAAAAAACGTTTTCATACGCTACGGACAAACTATACGCAAAAATAGATTGGGGTTGAACTAATTATGAAAACGTTGAATAGAAAAATGTGAACTGCGTCAACATACGAAATCAACATAGCAATGAAAAAAATCTCATCTTGAAAAGGGGAAAATTAAGCACTTTTTAAAAACACCCAATGTAAAAAGCACCTTTAAGGGTTTTCAAAAACGGAAATAAGCACCCTTAAGCACTTTTTAAAAACGCTATGCACCCTGTAAAACAGGATATTGTTCTCGGATTGTACAATTGTTTGATGACTGACAAATGTACAATACACAAGGAAGATATTTATAAATACATCCAACACTGAAACTTACTTTTGCAACCTGGCATTATGCTCATCAACTTCATTTTCAGGTGCTTTATCACCATCACCTTCTTTCTTTCTCCTCTTCTTTTTTGATATTTTAATAGAAGATTTTTCAGGAGACGCATCATTCTTGCCATGCTTGAAACAAAATGACTGTAAAATAAAATTTTATTATAAGTAAGAAGATTTATACTAAATGTAAAGTATTATCATGACAATTATTCACGAACGATTGAAAAGGTATATACCTGCATTTTTACACCTTGCTCACTTGAATCGATAGGTGTAGTTTTCATTTCCATTTCTAAACCATTTTCAATGGCGCATGTAACATGATAGGCTACTTTGCACTGTTTCACCTGAAATAAACATAACAAATAAATATTTACTTTACTATGCACGCACTGACGAATACATGCACCAACTATTTTACATAGTGAGAAACTTCACTCAATTAACAGTAACTTTTTTTTCAGAACATGTTCTTAGAAATTGTACACTGGTTAACACAGATAAAAATGCCATCAATCTGATAGATTTTTAAACGCTATGAATGAGGAAATGATATAAATCTCAAATAAGATTCAATAAGAAGAAACTCTTCTCAAATAAGAAACTCTATGAGTTTCAATCTTTCTTGCTAAATAAGAAAACCCATTTAAAAAGTTAACTTCTGATATAGAAACAACCATACAAATGTTATTTTTAAAAGATAAAAGATGATCAGTAAAAGTATGGGTATTTCAAAGAGAAAAAAAGTTTTTTTTGCATTTGTAATAGGTAAAAGTTGCAAGTGAGGGAAAACTTCATAAGTTTAAAAATTTATTTAAAAACTTTTATTTTATATAATTCAAACTTATTTATTAAAAGGTAAAAAAGACATATTCAAAACTAATTAAATAACATAAACAAACAAACTTGTACAAATGATTGTACATTTTTTAATAGAAAAACTAAAATATACTTCATTTACATCTTTTTACTCTATTTGCAGCGAATAATTCAGAACTGTTAACAAAAATATGAAATACTTTAAAACTGAGTTTAATTGTTTTATACACTTTTGGATGCATGCTATGATGAAAAAATCTTATACCTCTTATTAAAAAAAATGATCAATTTCATTTTATTGTCAGCATTTATGTAAGCATAAACAAAAAAAACACTGTTCATAAATCAAAAATATAAATCAAATTTTTAATATCAGCATACACTAAAAGATAATAATAACAATAAAATGTTTAAGAAAAAAACATTCAGTTTAACATGTTCAAAACTGATTCAGTTGATATACATACAAACAGAAATTGTAAAGGACATTCACTTACTGAACACTGTATGCAAGCGCCTACTCTTTCTCGGCACAATGTGCATATAAGTGCCCACCTGCTAGCCTGAAAGAGTAAAAAAATTTAAATTAATTTCCTTTTTGTGAGTAGGATTGTAAGTCGAGATAGACACTTAGAACAAAAATTTTCAGACAGTGATAGAAATAATATTAATAAAAAAAGCCTAAATATTTTCAAGGATTTGAAATTTAAAAATATATACAATTAAAATTATATTAAATTCAAATTGTAGAACTGCAACAAAATGAATTATGAATTTAAAGTGAAATATATACAAGTTAAAATAAGATTTTTTTACATTAAAAATATATAAATACAATAAAATTAGGCAATTCTCTGTCAAAGCCAACTCTCTAATTAATTTAAGTATTAAAATGTTTTAACAATCAAATTCGTGCAATGAAATTCATAATTTCCAAGAGACATTTATTTAGAAATATTTCCAATAATTGTGTAATAAAAACAAAGTATAACAGAACAGATTAAAATGTTAACAGTTAATATTTAACTCTTTTTTTTCTATAAACTTAAGAGAGTATTTTTCTAGTTTAGTTCACCTGGTCTCCCTAAATTGCACCTATCATATTTTCAATTTCCCAAAGCAAAAGTTTATAAGAATATATAAGAATTTTCACTTCAATAAAAAGTTAATGTAAAAAATCAAATTGAGACTGTGCTAGAAAATAATCAATATTGCAAAAAAAATTTATCAATAAAATATTTTAATATAAACTAAATTGTTTGTTCACATAAAGAGAAACAGAATATAGCCTCTTTTATAAGTTTAAGCCAGTTAAACTTTTCAGTTTTTTAAGTATACAGCAATAGTTTCAATCACTTTGAAGACTACGAGTACATACTACTAGTTCCTGGTTTTAAAACTTGTCAATGATTGAATAAATTAATGAGAAAAAGGTAACATACTGGTATTTGAGATATCCTCATGATTGGTTCCATTTTTTCAGGATCACCAATGCTAACTTCAGGTATCCATAATGCACAACTAACATGAGCCCACTTTTCACCACTACTGTAAAAAAAATTGAAAGAATTACCATTTTCAATAGAATTCCAAAAAGACATTTGAAAGAAAAATATATCACACAAAATTCTCAAATTAAATTTCATGATAACAACTAAAGTGCAATTACAAATATTTATTTATATTTATAAACAACTAATCTTGATCATTATTGTTAACTTGATTTAGTAGTTTTGATTATGAGAAATCTTGATTGAAATTTTCCCTAACTCTAGTTTACTTTCAATGATAGTTAAAATTACTATTAAAAACATTTAGTGAGGAGACAAAAAACAAGCATCAGTGCAAATTTCAAACTAAAAAATGTTTTATTTATTTTACATTTCTATGGAAATATTTACAGTACAAATATAAACATATTAAGAATAATCAGGGGTCTGTCCAGACATTTTGTGAAAGGTCCGTTTTTGTAAAATTGTGAAAAAATTACTCGTAATTTGAAGACTTTTTCGTAATTTGTGAATATAAAATAAACGTTAAGTCACATTTTTTTCAACCAGGGTCCGCTTTTGTGAATTTGTGCAAATAGGGTCCGTTATTGCAAAAAAAAACTTTTTCAATGAGTTTTTAAATTGTAAAGACATACAAGATTATGCTCAACACTGTAAAATAATAATTAAAAAAATTAAATTTCAAAAAATAAACAGCAATTGCAGCTACTAAATTAGCGATGCAACTTATAAATATTTGGTATTTAGCCTGTACTGCTGAAAGCAGAATATTAATTTCGGACGGATAAAGGAAGAAACGTCTGCCGAAGACAAAATTTAGTTCGTTTACATCTGTCTTTCTTCCCCCCCCCCCTTCCTGGAAAGGGTTTATTCGATTAACAAAACAATAATAAAGGTAAACAAATTTGTGAAGGGTCCGATTAAAAGATAAATCATTTTGTGAAGGGTCCGTTTTTAAGTTAAAATATTTTGTGAAGGGTCCGTTTTTAAGTTGAAATATTTTGTGAAGGGTCCGTTTTTATGAAAAGATATTTGTGAAGGGTCTGTTAACGGACCCAAATTTCTTCTAAACAGACCCCTGATAATGTATCAAAAATAAACAAAAAATAATTTGAATAGTGTACTGTACAATAGTTAAATATTTTTTAAGTTTTCAAATAAAAAATTATTGGAAAGAAATTTTAATTAAAACAAAGAATTTTTACCTAGTACACTTCATTGCTCCTCCCGTGTTGGGACAAAGAACACAAGGAGGTTTGACATTTGCAGCACATGGACGACAAACCCAACTTCCTTCTGGAATAGCCATTATTCCATAGCATGCTTGATGGACACAAATATTACAAATATCACAGAATACCATCTCATTGCCATCTTCATTTTCTCTCTGCAATCAAGGATATAGATTTGAAGAAATAATTCATACATAATACATGAAAAGAGTGAAACACTAAAACAAGTTATTTTCCATATTTAAAACATAATTTTTTATTACAAAATTGTTTTTTTATTATAATTTTTTTTTCTTATGAAACATTTTTTTCAAGGAAAATAAAGTTCTTTTGAAAAATTCAAAAACATAAAAAGAACACAATTAAAACCACATACAAGGTATATACTTCATTTTACTTCTATTCTAAATTTTTGAGACAGTAAAATTATCTAAATAGAAACATCTAAGGCACAGTTTGCAAATTCAGTAACAGGAATAAAATTTGTTAAAAACCAGAGTAGCAATATGTGTTTGCACTATTTTTTGAAATAAAATTCAAATCAAATAAATATAAATAAATTTATAAAACATAATAAAAAATAAAATGTATAGAATTTTTGGCATTTAACAGCTTACAAAAAAGGCTTTACTGAATATTGCTGTTCAACTATTGATAAGTTTAGCATTTTAATTCGTTTATTTTTATTGATCTAAAATTTAAAAGAACACACATTATGTAATCTTAATACTTTCAAATAATAAATAATTTTTAAAAAATTATCAAAAAATAATTTTTTGTTTTATTTATTAGATTTAAAGAACAAAATCAAATTTAATTAAACTAGTAGCTAGCTAATACTATATTATAAATTGGTTAACATATTCAACAAATTTAAAATTCTGAAAAAAATATGAACTTACTGCTCTACAGACTTCACAAACTACATTTTCATCATATTCAATGCCAAGTCCTTTCTCTGTCTTCAAGGCATCTTGAAACCCATTAGAGCACTAAATTGAAAATGTTTAAATTAACTGATTAAAGAGCAAAAGACAAGTTTATAACATTCAAAGCAATGAAACTAGATCACACAAACTTTTACCCTATTATTTTTAATACTATAATGGGAGAGAAGTTAATATCTAAACTAAAAACATAACACAATTCAAATAGAATAACCAGTGCTCTCCCTAAGCGTTTTTTAAAAAAACAGCCTGCTCCATCAGCCTTTTGATCCCTATAAATGTGCCCTTTAGGTAAAAATAAGTCGCCATTTCTTAGAAACACAGCCTTATTATTTATATTCATTAAAAAATAAATGACTCACTGTTTAAATAATAATTACACTTAGGTAAAATTATCTGTGTTTATAGATTTAATTCTGATTAAATTTTTATAAGTTTCTCTTTTTTTCAAGGGGGTTGGTTATATTAATGAATTTTTTAAGTGATTTTAAAATTATTTTTTAAATAAAGACTTTTTTTTTAAAAGAAAAAATTGCCCCTTTAAATGGTTATTCTTTCATAATTTTCTGTTCAAATTATAGTAGAAAACTTTCAAGTTGTTTATCAATTATTAATTTATTTTTTTTTTAGTTTACCTTTTTTTTGAAGAAAAAAAGAATTATACTCAGAGATTGTCTTTTAGCATGCCTTTGATTATTTTTCATAAACTACAAGTTTTTCTCTTGTTCTGATAATGTGAGAGAATTACTTTCTGAAATATATACATAGCTGCCAACATGGATAGGAAAAAAATCCAGTAGATTTTAAGAAATATTATAAATTTCATGATAATTGGGGCAAAATGTACTAAATATTTTACACATAGGGAATTTTAGGGATTATTATAGTCATCAAAATAGAAAAAAAAAAACTGCAATATTTTTCAGAAATGTTGAAATGTTATGTATTATGGTTACTCATAATTTAGAATAGTATTAGTCATTTAAGTCATCAAAGATAGTAAAAATATTTTTTAATTAATTTTAAAAGGGAGTTAATAAAAATAAACTCAACATTTTAGATAAAAAAAAAGCTTTAAACTGATTTTTATAAATGAGGTTCGCTTCATTATGTATGTTACTTATTTAAATATTCAAGCAAGCAATAATCTGAGTAAAAATTTTATTTTAATAGGGATTCTTTTTAGTAAACTTAATCAATTTTAGGGAATTTTCAAAAATGAACAAAAACCAGGAGAATTTTAATTAAAACAGTAGACCAGGAGAAATTGGCAAAATCCAGCAGAGTTGGCAGATGTATATACATAAAATAGCATAAGAGGGTAATTGAAAAATTATTGAGGATATTACATAATATATACATAATACAGTTATTACATAATATTAGAAAAGAATTACAACACAGAAAGCACACATTGGCACGTATTCTTCTGTTTTTTATCGTATATTTTAAATTCTTTCCCTGGACTTTGGCAACACTTTTAGGGTACAGAGAAGACAATTTTCAAACTTTTGTCTTCCTTTCTCGATAGAAAAAGTTTTGCATTTATGACATCTGAAGCTGGTACCCCCTAACGACGTCAGCTTTGGTTGTCATATTTTCCCGATTTTTTTCTTCATTTTCACGTTTGTTTACATTTTTTGCCATGTTTTGGTAAAAAACTAATCTTAACTGCCATTTTTAGAAAAAGCTGGGAAAAGTGACACAAATAGAAACTATTTAGCTCAGTAAAATATAGATTCTGACAAAAAAAAATTAATTCATCCAGTGTTCATTGAGTCATTCCAATTTTTATCAATTTTTCAACAAAATAATGTTACACTTAGCTGCCATTTTTTTAAAAAAATATGTAAATAAAAAATAAAAAAACTCAGTATAAGGCACCATGTTAAAAAATAACATGAAAAGAAACTATTTATCCAATAAAAATATAAGCTCCCTGATGCATATTTGAGAAGTTTTAAGTGCACATTACAAATAATGATTTCAGACACTTTTTTAAAATTATTTTTAAATCAAAAAACAGTTTCGAACTTACATTTGTTTAGGCTTTCAATGTTTTGCTATTTAAGGTTTAGTTTCAATTACAAATTTAAATTAATACCGATGAATTAGGAATACTCAGCTGGTTTAACATTACATTACAGTAATTACATTTATCAGATGATAAGAACATTTTTATTCCGAAACTAAAGTGATTTTATGAAGATAATAGAGAAATTTTGAAAATAGCACAAAATGTAATTTTGAAGGGAAAAAATTTTCAGCAATAGAATTTAAAAATGATTCAAAAAGCAACAATTAGTCTCTAACGATAATTTCATAAAAATTTTATTAACTTAAAAACTAAAATCATTTAATAAATATTAAAAATTGCAAAAACATATAATTTTCAGTTTAAAAAAAAACAAAACTAACCTGCAATTCAAAATCTTCTAAAACACGTTCCATAGTTTCTTCTCTTATATGTTGCTTTCCTGAAATTAAAAAGAAAAGAACCTCTGTTAGAAGTAGCAAAAAAACAATCCTCTTTTTCAAAAATGAAACACATATCTTTAATATGAACATTTTTGAGGCTCTAATTACAAGTAAAAATATATTCTGGTGTTTTTTAATTATAAAAAAATACCAGTCTAATAGTTACGAAAAAATATATTAGATTATCAGTATTAAATTTATACCAAAATATAAAACCCAGTAAAATTAGTTTAAATCCAGAAAAATTTTCTCCATTCATATTCAAAAATTTATTAATAGTTGTAATTAAAGAAATTTCAATGATGAATAATTGTTTCTCTTAGATCTAAATAACTGCAATTAAGTTCTAATTTGAAAAATTATTGTTTGGAAGTTAGCTCTCTTAAGAATTAAGCTTTAACGGAGAAAAAGACATAGGTGTTTTGTGCTGTATTTTGAAACTGTAATTTGTTAAAATATGTTTCATTTATTGCCCTAAATTAATACAAATACATAATATGTTTAATTTATTTTGCCCTAAATTAATACAAAATAAACAAAATAATGAAAAATAAATCCATCACAAAAAGCAAATAGAATTTTTGAGTGATTTTAAACATTTCATACCTCCATCTTCTCTGTATTCATTAAATAATATCAGCCACTGTGTATCCAAATCATCCATGTCATACTTGCAGACTTTCTCAGCTTTTGCGCCAGTATCGGTTAAAACATGATGCTCACTTGAGAAGAAATTATCCTCAGTTGTTCTCATTAATTTCTTTGGTCTGTAAAAGTAAAACAAATGTTGCATGTAAGTAACAAATTAACAATTATTTAAATCACTGTAAAAGTAAAACAAATGTTGCATGTAAGTAAGAAATTAACAATTATTTAAATCACTCAATGATTTAAATAAATAATTTAGAACTACTTACAGTTTAAATAGAACTGATTTGCTTCTTTCCCTCAATATCCTAGAAGAGAAAGAAAAAAAAAACATTATTGAAACTTGCATATTATACTAATACATTAATGCTTAGTTTTAAAGGTATTATAAAAATTTAAAAAAAAGTAGCTGAAAGATACATCTACAATAAAAATGAATTTTAAACACGCTAATTTAGATAAACGTAAAAAAAAATATTCAATTTTGAAAGTTTCTTCTTTTTTTTAAAAAAAAAAAAAAGAGAAAAAAAAAGCAAAACGCCATTGATTAACAACATTTAAGTATTTTGTTAAGAACACTTAGAAAAGGTACGAAGTTCCAATTCCAAAAATTTAATTATCGCAATTTCATGAGCATGATCGTGTATTTGCTCCTCCATTTTCTTGTGAATGACCAATGGTTCATATATGACATTAATTCACTCATGTATGACACATTCTGCCAGAGGGAAAGGCTTTGGAATATATTTTTATCCTGCCGGTCTGACAACAAACATTTGTGGCGAAAGCATTTTTTAATAAAACAACATCATCTAAAACCTGGCTATCTTATAAGTTTGACGTACTATCATTGTGTAAAACTTAATTACCATATCTAAAGGAGAATGAGTCAGTTATGCAGCTGAATTCAAAGTTAAAGTTATCTGAAGAAGTTGGAAAATGTGAAGGTCATTTATTGTTGTAGATTAATCAAATGTGCATCTATGGCACAAAACAAAGAAATATTAGTTGCAAGTAACTGTTCAAGATGATCATTTTGGAAAGGCATACAGGCATGAACAGATTTAGAAATCTAGCTCCTGCATTAGATTATAGAACAAGGAAAGGTTATGGTATCCTGTCACTAAATGAACTTCTGCGAAACGAAATTTTTATGCTGAACGAATACTCACATAATCCACAAGTTATCTACTTGTATAATTTACAAATTATCTACTCGTATAAGCCACAAATTATCTGCTGAAATCTTTTCTCCATGGTTAAGACTATAAGTTGCCGCGGATCATGTGCAGGAAATTTCAGTATCTGGTATTTTAAGATTAGAAAACAAGACAATAAAATTAAACAAAGGTTCATGTGATGCATAAATATTTAAAGTCAGGTAATATTTCTTATTTTATCACTTGCTGACTTAGTGAAAAAGTGAAGTTTGTGGAAAAATTAGAAGTGACTTTTTATTTCATTCCAAAAATTTTCCTATTATTTTAAGGAGCAAACAAAAAACAATTGGTTATGTCAAAATCCTACTCTCATTTTAATCCTAACATTAAAAAAAAATTTGAAATTGATATTTACTTAGTAATATTAATATATTCTTAGGATTCGGTAAATATTTAAATTGCGTACAACTCGAAGTCCGACACATAAAAAAATACTGAGCCAAAGAAATGAACTATGGATTCAAATCACTTTTTATACTACATTAAAAAAGAAAGTAATTATGAAAATTCAAAAATTAATATTGTTCAAATTAATCAAAATAAAGCTATCAATTCAGAAGCGGACAATTGGATAGAAAAAGATTTTTTAGAAAGAGACTCTACCTAACATCTGGATTAGGCACATTCTTTGAATTCACTGGAACTTGCACACCTCTTTCCCATTCTTGTTTCCAGGAATCACTAACATCCCAAAACTCTGCCTCATCGAGTTGCTCATTGTCAGGCAGCTTCATAGCACTAATAAGATCTTTTCTAAACAACTATAAAGAAACATTATGTTTTAGTTGAGTGAAACATATTTATACCACTTAAACAATGTAAGTATTTGAATTAAAATAATGTCCCCTTAGTAAAATAGAAAGTGAATTTTGTATTACATGGGATTACATAAATTGAAATAATACAATCATTAAGGATAATACTGCTTTAAACTTGTGGGGGGGGATATCAGTCAATAATTGACTTTGGAGATAGTAACAGAATATTAAAAACTATCAATTAAATCATATCAATAGAGAAAAGAAGCATTTTCATCTGATCTGACGGTTAAAATAAAATGTCAAATTCTTTTAAAGTTTGTAAAAAGCTGTGTATTATTTTTTCATTAAACAAAAATACCAGCAGGACGGAAATAAAAAGGAACTTTATTAAAATTTAGAGTCATTAAACAGAATAGAGAGATTTAAATACATATTACAGATCTGAAAAATAATGTTTGCTTAAGTAATACAAGATTTTGAAATTTAAATACCTCATCAGGCTTTTCTTTCCTACAAGAACTGTTATATATCTTGTGTAAAGGGGGTGCATCACCAAAATTAACAGCCACAGCTTGCCCACCTAAAAAATAATAAATAGCTCTAAATGAAGTGGAACTTAAATTAAATAAGTAATTTATTTAATATATAAATTTTTATTTACTCACTGCAACAAAATAGTGTGAAAACATGACCTAATTTATCTTAATTTAGAAAGGTTAGTCTAAATAAGAATTAGTAATAGTTAGAATGAGTCAAAACTGTTAAAACCTTGAGAAAAAAAAATTTCTTATCTTTTTGTTTTTAATTTTAATTAAATAACACAGCATAAAATTAAATACAAAATTTTCAGACTGAGGCACGTAATTACCATCATGCAACTTTATTTCCCCAAATCACGAGAACAAGCAAAATTGCATCGGGCCGAAATAAACAGAAACGGTACCACATAACTGAACTAAGTAGCTGCCGAAGCACAAAATAGTATGCTAGTAGGAATGAGACAAACGCACAACACCTAAGGTTGACATTCTTTAAATACCGATGAAATTAATTGGCATAGATGTCTGGCTTCACTGATCTGTGATCTCCAAGTAACTTAGAATGGCTCAATAACCACGAAAATAGAACAAGTTGGATGGAGGCACTTGAAGCAACTATTTTGTCACAAATTTATTGATGGTTTGTTACATTTGGAATCTAAAACATCTTGAGGTTGAAATGTTACAATACATTTTAATTATGGAATATGTTTTCAATATTATTTTATCACTAAAAATCCTTGTCAAGAGAACTCAAAGTAAAACCAGTGTTAGTGTTTTTCGAAGGCGTAGAAAAGCATTTTTAGAAGGGCAACTTGCCTAACCTACCCTATTGCAAAAATAAGCCTCCATTCCTTAAAAACACTACTTTTCTATTTTATTTCCTTAGGAAAAGGGTTTTACTTAATCACCTGTTTTAAAGAAAAAAAACCTCCTCCTTCCTGGAAAAAGCAGTATTTAAGTGAGGTTTCAAACACTGGGAGAAAATGGGAGAGGGAGAATACCATTTACTATCCTCTTTGAATTTCAACAATCATAAAATAAAGGAGTACACAATGCGTAATACAATCGTTTTATAATAAGAGAATTTTCCGAACTTTACTATTCTAAATTTGAATCTCGCTTCAAACGTGATCTTTTAGTTATGTTTTTTTCTACTTCTACTAGTTACTTTTTTATTTTTTAAGACCAAAATAATTATAAAAAAAAACAGAAGGAAGGGAAGAAAAAAAACGAAATAATAATAACGAAACTTTTTAAAAAAATCAGCTTAAGCTGTAACTGAATTGAATAGTTTATAATAGAGATGTAACGAATATTCGGCTACTATTCAGCATTTGGTTTACCAAATATTCAGTTGGCCAAATAATCAAAATATTTTTTAGAAAAGTATTTCTAAAAAATATAATAATTTATTTTTTAGAAATACTTTTTATTCGGGGGGGGGGGGGNATTTGGACCAAACCAGGAAGAAGACAGTGTTCTCACTATGTGGAAAAGCGAGAAACTTACGGATATTTTTCATTTTCTCAGAATATAAAATTGCAAACTTATTTTTATTAATTCTAAATAATGTGTCCTAACAAAGAAGACATGAAATGTAACAGAGGGGACGTCTTACAAATTTGACAAAAAGTTAAAGGGAAATATCACTGTCAAAAGTGACTCTTTGATTATCTAAAGTTGGTAATGTTATAGTTGGCTGCTATAATATCTGACATGTGAATCATGGGTGCAAGTTGGAAAAAAGGCCAAGACTGAAAATTTTTTGATTGAAATACCTAACATACACAATACCCCCTCGCAGGGTTGGGTTTTTGACGTCAAAAAGTGGTTTTTGACAAGACAAGGGTATAATACNACTGAAATACCTAACATACACAATACCCCCTCGACATATGCAAACTATCTAAGAAAGCTTTACCATAATACATCAAGTTTAAATACTGTACAAAAAATATTTATTCATCTGTCTTTTGATAAAATAACAACAGGACATATGAAAGTGGACCTAAAAAATATTTTTAAGGACAGAAAAAAAAAAATTCCGATTTCCGTCTTCGAGTCAGTCTTGTTTCCATCTTACTTCCATCCGCGGACATTTTCGAAAGACGGAAATCCGTCCTGGGGACGGAAGACTTGCACCCATGATGTGAATCTATGCTACATCTTTGCAGTTATATTTGAAAGTTTTTATTTTACCAGACTGTATTAAAAAAAAAACATGTACATTGCGTGTTTTGTGCTCATTATTTGGGCAACAAAATTTCCCAATGTTTCAATTGGGGACTGTTACATGTTAAATCTGTCGGGTTACAAAGTCCTTCTGGTTTGGGTTCAAAATTATAAGTTTACAGAATTAAACATTGGTAACCGTAAACTCAAATTTGGGTTGACTGTTCAACGACAGTTATAAAATAAAAATTGATCATTGTCGCAAGTCGCTATATTTAGTAATTCTAAGTAATTATTAGGCTAACAACTGTGTGAATAACTGTGTTAGGCTAACAACTCCTTTTTAATGGTCAACCAATGAGCATTGTTTACATTTTGTGTAACTGAGGGGACATTTAGCTTTCTCCTCTGTTACATCCCCTCTGTTATATGAGAAACTTTAAATGTTTTCTTTTTTTCAAATATATAACATAACATGATTGTACTAATAGACTTAATTGCAAAAACCAGTTATTCATTTATAAGGTTTCTAGCGTAATAAATAAAAAAAAATTAAAATAATAATTGTAACAGAGGGGACAACTATATATTTGAGATATATTTTGACTTAAAAAATAAGAAAAAAAATTTTTTTCGACAGAAATCACTGCATAATTAGACTCGACAACAATTTAATTTACAATATAAATCAAACAATATGCAAAATTGTAATATTTTTAAAAACTTATTCTTCTTTAAATTAGAAACATTTTTTTGGTAAAATAAGTTAAAATCATGAATGCTCTCTATTTATGATAAATTTTACTATAATCATGCTTATTTCAAAAAAATAACCTTCTGAATTCATAAACTACAACAAATTTCCTTTAAAATGATACGAAATACAAGGATATTGCTTAAACTTTAAAAATTCAATACTGGTTTCAGTTGACATGGAATTCAACTATAAACTAATTTCAAAATGCAAAAATATTCCGTATTTTTGGGAAAAAATCTTATGTCTACTATTTTTTTATTGATTTTTCTTTCTTTTCAACCATAATTCTGATTATTTTGCTTTTCTCCTTGCCCAGAACCAATCCGAACAGAACACCCCCCCAAACATGGGAACCCCTTTCAGAACACCTGAGATCGAGATGCAAAATATCTTTCAGTTCGAAATGAAGGAATAAAAAGAAAACAAATACTGAAAAAGACGAGCAAAACAAAACAAATACAGACATAATTCAGCATAATGAGAGAAAAAAAATAGAGACAGCTAAGTATGAAGTGAAATGAGAGAAAATGTAATAAGGCCTTTGATAATAAGGCAAAAANTTAAATTAACAGAATATAAATCCCGAAATGAGGCTTTTAAATCACGTGAATATGAAACTCTATATCGAATTTAAAAAATGCGGAAATACAAATCATGATGCGTAATTTTTAGATCACTTAAATACGAATCACGATGCATAACTTTTAAATAGGGCGAATACGAATCCTACTGTCTTAATTTTTAAAGCACGTATAAATAGGAAAATCGATGTTTGATATTACAACCGCAAAACGAATCACGACATTGGATTTTAAGTTCGCGTGAATATTAATCGCTACATAGGGTTTTAAAAGTGCGTAGTTACAAATTGCGATATTGGAATTTTTAAATCTTGTAAATAAGAATCGCAATGTACGACATTTAAATCGCCTGATTAAGAATCGCAACGTTCAACTTTTAAATCAGGTAAATAGAAAAATCAATGTTTGAGGGAGGAATGAGGACTTCAATACTTTCACTTCACGGAAAATTTAATTCCTCATAAAATATTTTAATTTCTGCAAAAAAAAAATTTCAGCGGAAGTTAGCGGAAAAAAACTGAAAAAAGCGGAAATCCGCGAATCCGCGGAAGAATCACATCCCTGTTCATTTCGAAATGAAGGAATAAAAAGAAAACAAATACTGAAAAAGACGAGCAAAACAAATACAGACATAATTCAGCATAATGAGAGAAAAAAATAGAGACAGCTAAGTATGAAGTGAAATGGGAGAAAATGTAATAAGGCATTTGATAATAAGGAAGAAAAAAAAAATAGAAGAGATAAAAAAAATTATATTATTCATGAATATACATTAAATTAAATTATTAAATGAAGATATTATTAATATCTTCAATATTTGTATAATAATTAAGGAAATACAATTTTTTAAGCCCAGTCGTAATCTCTAATAGATTTTAGAAATCTCATTAAATTTTAAGAAATCTGACTCTGTTTTAGGAATGGGTGAGAAATTTTCCCTCATTTTTTTCTGTGATGAGAAACCCAGAAGTGTACAGTTCTCTAAGAGACAGGTCACTGAAGTTATATGAACTCCCATTTGATATATTTTGTTTTTCAGACAAGCTTGCTTTATTTGTATACTTATAAATTCAGATATTTCAAATATTCATCAACTCATGTATTTGTGGTGTCAGTTTGCAATATACATTAAGAATTCATGCTCCTTTTTCAACCTGCTATTACTTGATGAAAAATATGTGCTCGACCAAGCCATGTATCATTCTGTCAATTATCTTCATCACTGGGAGGATACTTATGTAGCAATATTAATTCCAAAAGTCACCACAAGATGGCCCTGCAGCCACTGCCCAATTTAGATAAGGGTTCTTTCCCTAAAGGAGCAATTGAACATGCAGAGAGTGCAGATGCATGCAGGCATTACGTTTCACTCAATAAAATGTTAAACTTTAAATATTTTTGCATACTTTAATCTAATGTACTCAACTATACTACAACAAAGTCCCATAATTATTTCTCTTGGCATTTAATAAATAATAACTGAAATATGAAAAAAACATAATGTACGTAATTGTCAACAAAAAAAAAAACATTTGCACACAATTGTCAACAGACCTGTATAATATACACGAGCGAGAAATTTTTTTAACTATTACTAAAAAGAAGAAATTCGCTTCTTTAAAGAAGGTTTGTCTTTTTCAAATTATGTAGAAAAATATTCATCATTTTTATACTATTTTTTACCATTGCAAATGCTATTTAAAATTACATACACATGATTTAAAATCACAAATGACGATTTCTACTTACAAGATTTAAGATTATATTTTTCTGATTTTATATCAAATGTCCTGTCTTGTATTAACACAATTTAAAAACTACTCTTATGTTCTGCGTTCAAGAGACTTAAAAACTATACATTAGAATTCATGTGATTTTAAAATCAAACATCTAAATTTGTATTCTTCAGATTTTAAAATGAAACTTAAAGATTGAAATTAAAGCGATTTTAAAATCAAACAGCGATATTCTTAGTAAAGCAACTTTATAATCAAACATTGAGATTTCAAGAATACACATTGAGGTTCATATTCAAATAATTTAAACAAATAAATAAAATCTTGCATCAACATTTATATACAAACATTTGTAACATTCTATAGNTTTTTAGTTGGGTTTAACAATAAAAAAACGGCTTTTTGTAGCGATTCAGAAAACCGGAAAAATCAGTTATCCGGAATAGCGATGGTCCCGATCGTTCCGGATAATCGGTTCCCTACTGTAATTTAAACAAATAAATAAAATCCTGCATCAACATTTATATTCAAACATTAGTAACATTCTACAGATAAATACTTCCTACATACACTTTTTTTTTGCTCAAATTCAAGTATTTTAAATTATTTAATAAGCGTTTTTGCACATAACATTTCTGGATTTCTATATTCAGCTTTTTTTATATTTTTACAAAATTCATTCCAGTGGTATGAATCAATATAAAGTTCTATAAAAACTAAAAAAAATTTTAAAAAAATCAATGATTTTCAAAAAAAATTTCTTCAAAATGAGATGGCGACGGAAGAGTTACCAGTAAAAAAAGTTCATCAATGCAGGCAGAAAGTTTATCGATTGAGATTTTGTGCCTGCAGAAAGTTCTTAAGTCTTGTTGTCTATAATTAATGATCGTCTTATTATCAGTTTGTGACAGCTTAACCCTATTTTTCAATGGCTGCACATGAGAAAAAAAACATAACAAACTATACATAAATTCAAAAAATAAATAAATAAAAATAATAATGAAATCAGATCCAATTAAAAAATACAAACTATCTTAACATAAAATAAATTCTAAAAAATGATTCAAGCATACTTTCCCCTTAGATTAAAACATAAAAAATAAAAAAAATTCTTAAATTGTAACATAGATAAAATGAAAAAAATGTAATTATGATATTGAACTAAATTTATTTTTTTAAAAAAAAAACTTACGTGAACAATCATCATCTTCACTAGTACTTGCTAGACGTCTTCTTTTAGAAACAGCTAAAATATAAATACACTCATGAAACTTTGAAATAAAGCATATCATCTTGAACAGAATAAAGGTTAGAATTAAGCACAATACTTATAAATTTATGATATTTAAAACATTTTAATAAACATATTTCAATAGTCATTCAGAATTTTTTAATAATTAACTTCACTATTTTAATTTATACTAAGCAATAGTAGCTTATATATAAATTCATCTTTCCACTGACTAATATATCCAACACATTTGAAAAAAATATCAGTTTTTCAAGTTAACCAGCACAGTAAATCAATATTTTAAGACATAATATTAATAGAAATATATTTCAAAACTTACAAGTTTCTCCTTCAGTACTTTGTTGCGGGCGCTTCATTCTTGTGTGTTTAGATCACTTCATCACAAAAATTTCTAATCTGAAAAAATAAAATAAAAAAATCAAAATAAAAAAAGCAAACTCAACAAAAATAAACAATTGATAACAATTAGTAATAAAACAAGCACGATTGATCGCGTATCATGAAAATACAACTAATACTCATATGAGTTAATTATATGAAATATTACGTTAAAATCGTATTTTTGTGATCAGATCGTTAATCTATTTCCTTGTTTAGAGCATAACTTATTTCACGATCAATAATATATTATATATGGTGAACATTATTTAAGTGCAACATAAAAGCAAAATGTCATAACAATCAGATATGTAAACAAATAACAAGATAATATAAATGGAATCGTACAACAAGTCTATCCAGTTCATCGCAGACACCAATCCCGAAGAGGGCGCCTCCATATTTGTTACAACAAGACATACGAACGTCTAGATTCCATCCGCTTTAGCAATCAAGAACAAAAATATGCTTTTACAGTATGCCAATACATGATTAATATATATCGATAGTATAATTAGATATTTGTGTAAGAATTATAAAATTAACAAAAATTAAAATTAAATTATCCAGTTGGCGCCATAACAAAATCCTGACGAAATTAGGTCACGTGACTTTAAAATTGCTAAATTTTTGTTTCTCTTTCTGTGCTGCTTTGACCCTACAAATGATGATTAAAAAATTTAAAACGGAAATTTAAATAAAAAATGCTAATTTTTCTAAAAGAATACGCAATATTTGTGTGTATTTTCATACTGTATTATATCTCTTTAGAAAAATGATATTTGCAGTCTGAAATTGAATTATTGGTACTATATCTAAGACATTTCAAAATTAGTAGTGATAAAATAATTTAAGTGATAAGAAAATGAAAAAAATGTTCTGACGGACATATTTTCAATGCTTAAAATAATTAAATTATTATAAATTAAGAAAAAAATTTAAAGAACTTCAACTTAGACTTTTCAATACTTTTGTTTTATTGTTTTTGTTTTACTGCCTGCCGGAAGTTAAGGGAAGGTGTGAGGTGTTGGTTATCAATAATGGTTAGATTTTTTACTAATTATTTTTAAAAAAATTTTCTAGTGCTATTTTAAATTCACTCTAGTTACCATTTTTAAATCCATTTTCTAATAGCTGTTTTATTTTTAGGAAACTTTATATCAATGTTTGGAGCGAATAGTTTCTTATAATTTTGTAATCAGTTACTTTTCATGTTTGAATTATTTTTAATATGGTTTCCTTTTTTTTATATACCTACAGTCTGCAACACTACGGCCCTATCTTACAGCTGTAAGGCATACATTGAATGCTGCTATGTGCTTAGAAAATTTTTCTTCACAAGTAGTGGAACGTCACAATAAACCAGAGGTTGAAGTGAGGTAAAAAAATATATATACCTATTTTGCTTATATTAATTTAATTTTTTTCCATGTATTATCTTTCATAGCTATTCAATTCACTTTTCAATGTAAAAATTATCTATTCCTGTCTGTTAGAATGTCAGTATCTTAGGTTCCATTAGAACCAAAAAGTTTGTTACAAAAAACCTTACTATTTACTAGCAAATCTATGAAAACAAAATTGTGAGTGCACAGACATAAGAGATTATGCTGAAACTCTCATACTTTAATCACTCACAATCTTGATTTTTTATGTATATTTATTTTAAAATTTCTATGTTCATTTTATCTTAAATATTATATTTTAATAGTTATGTATTTAAATTGCTAAGTATTTAAATTAGAGAAGATTTTCATGTGATCTGCAGCAGAATTATCTCTTAGTCTTTGGAAGTTTTGAGTAGCAGCGTAGTCATTCCTTAGCAAACCTTCATGCATTCTTTTCAAAAAATAAAAATTGCAAGTTACAAATATATTTTAAGCCTTGATGATTGTAGTTGATGCAACAGATCATGATAGAGAAATGTCCCCTTAAATTAAATATTAAGAAATGTGTCTTAGCAGAGTTCTCTTTAGGAATAAAAAAGGACAGGGTGCGTTCAGGCAGGAAAAGGCACTTGAAGTTTTGAAAGGGCATTCACTTAACACTGTAAAAATTTCTCAAAATGTGTAATATATTGTAATGACTGAATTTGATCCTCAACAACTTTTATGTGTATTTTTCAAGAAGTAATTCTCATTCATCATCAAAATTCGTAGTTTTTAAAAAATAATTAAAAGCATGCTAAAAGACAATCTCTGTACTTACATTTTTTTCAACAAAAAAAAAATAATAAACTAAAAAAATGACTTTTGATAACCAGCTTAAAAGCTTTCCTTCTATAATCTAAATGCAAAATTATTAGAAAATAATCATTTCAAAGTCCATTTTTTTTTAATTTGTTTAATTAATAAAAATTCAAATCACTTAAAAAATTCAGATATATTCCTCCTTGAAAAAAGAGAAACTTATACAAATTCAACTAGTTGAGAATTATCCTAACAAAGTAATAGCAATCGGAATTAAACCTATAAAGCCGGATAATTTTAACAGTTAATTAATTTTTCCTAAAAAGGGCTGACAGGTTAAGGACTGGTGGCTTATTTTTATAAAAAAGGGCAGAGACGGCACATTTATAGGGAGCAAATGGCAGGCCGCCCTTCTAAAAATGCTTAGAGAGAGTGTACACTGTCATAGTCATAGTAAAATTCATTCTTAAAGTTAGATTTTTTTTTTAGAAAATTAAGCTACCTTGCTAACAAATCATAATTACTTAAATAAAGGACCCTATATACACATTTGAATTATTGGGAAGTTTTTTATATTGTGATCTATGGCAAAATGCTCACTGAATTGTGGCAACTTCCGGGGAGTGACCCGAGTACATCACGGAAGACCAACTCGAGAGTATAACTCATAGTCAAAGTTTTGCAGGTTTTTTTTTTTTTTTTTTTTAAATTTTACAAGCTTATAATACATTTGGCACTATAACAATCGTTGTTGTTGAGACAGATCACAATGTGGAAATATTAGTTACTTATTAAGAGTAATTAACAGTGTTCTTCCTAAGCATTTTTAGAATGGTGACCTATTATTCCTGCCCTTTCACAGATGTAGATGCCCTCTTGCCTTTTTGTCTCTTTGTCCTTTTTGTAAAAATGCCTCCTTTTTTATTTAGAAAAAAAATGCTCATTTTTTTATTTAAGAAAAAGGAGGGCATTATCCAAAACTTAGAAATTCAGACTACCTTAACTAGTGGACAATAATTTTAGGCTTAGTTAGTATTAAATGCTATTATTTCCCACATTTATTTGAGTATTTTTAATTCTATTTTGGAGGTGCTCTTGTTTTTCAAAAAGCACCCTTTTTTATTTTTAGGAAGATCTCAGATTATTAACTTATTATTGTAAGTAAACCATGTAATACTTTAAAATGTAAATATTACTAAACCACTAAATTCTTTCTTTAATGACCCGGCAAATATATGTAAACATGACATCTTCTTCTAAATATTTTAATTGTGGAGTTTAAAAAGTCTGAACTATTTCTAAACTTTAAATTTTATTGTGAGTTTAAGAATATTTTCATCATGTTTTCTCCAATTGAAATCGCCAAGTCGCCAAACTGTTTAATGTCGCTTAAATTCTAGAAAAAGATTTTGTGGTGGTGGTTACATGTTACAAGATTGCTCGGTCCTGTTATATATTTATTTTTTATGGTTTCTTGCATTTTCCTTTTTGTAAGTTGTTTGGTAATTATTTTGAAATGTTAAAATATTTCAGGGAAAATTTTAAGAAAATTCTTGTAAGAATATTATACAATTGCTTGCATTCCACAGCTCCTATAAATTTCATTGCTGAAAAAATAATTTTTTTTTTTTACTAAAAGTTTAGGAATTTTTACTTTTTATGATTATTAGTTAAAAATATGTAGGAGTGAGAAGTGACACCATTTCAAAGAAAAAAAATTCTTTCCATGTAATGCAAATGCTGTTTAGTTCTATCAAAAAAGTTTTCCATGAAGTCAAATTTTTCCTAATGCTTGATTCAGAAGTTACCTTGTCTTCTGAATTGGGTTCAGAGTTAATAGGCTACAGAGTTGAACATTTGTAGTGGTAAAGCTAAAATTGGTTCAGCTGCTTAATGACAGTTATTAAATAAAATGTACCCAGTTGTATAGGATGTTTACCGAAGCATCATAGACATTGATAGCATTGTTCCCAGTAGTGCATCAATCGTTTCAAATGCACATGAAGAGAAATTCTCTCAATCAGTCATTAATACCTGCAAGCGTGCGCAAAAAGTATTTTCAGCCAATCGTTAACAGTGGTTATCTTGATGATTTTCGTTATCTTCCTCCTTGTTTTTTCTACCGTGACTCATCAAGCAGATATATATGTTTTGTTGTTGTGATGAATCTCAAAGTAACTGCGAATAATTTAACATTGAAATGTTGTCAAATCTCTCGGTTATTAAAATGAGTTTTCTTTTAATAGTGCAGATTTGATAGCAGTGTTTTCATCATAGAAAAAAAATGGGTGGGAATTTCTCACCCTTTCTCAAAAACAGGGTGAGATATCATAAAGTTAAGTGAGATTTCTAAAAACTTTAAAAACATAAATAGACATGAAAAAAAAAAACATTTCTTTTATTATAATACATTTTTAACGTCTTCTATTTTTTAAAGCATTGAATATTCTTGCTGCATCATCATAGAAGATTTTGCCTTTACTAGGTATTTGTCAATCTTACATTAGTGCATAAACAATTGGAGCGTCTTACATGAAAAAACCTTACCTACGGTAAACACGTGGTTGCAGAGAAATGTGTTCTGAAAGGGGTTTCGTGGTTCGGTTGTGTTCTGTTGTTCGAAAAGGTTCTGAACAATACTGGTAAATAGGGAAGCTAGATAACGGAGCAAATGTTGAAAATAATGAAAGATCCAGGAAGAAAAGTGAAACGGATTTTATTCTAAATAGCATAATTCGAAGCTTCTTCCAAAATGTGAGAAATTCCCGAATTTTGAAATTGATTTATAGAATGCGCGAATTTCTCGCAGTAATAATTTTTTAATGCAAGAATAGAAAAAAATATGCGAGATTCTCGCGCTGTAGTGAAAACACTGGATAGTGTGATGTTGAATTTTTTTACAATCAATTTAGCTATTTTCTCGTTTTTTTAAACGTTATTTTGCAAAGACATCCATTTCTTCAATTAATGAGAAATAATAATCATTGTTAGAAAATATAAAAATGCAATAGTGTTAAAATGAAATTGCAACTTACTATATGCAAATTTTTAATATTTTCTTTATATTCATTAATTTGCTTTGCTTTTAACACATTCCTTTTCGTTTCATAAATATTGACAATCTCTTAAATTTATGATTGAGAGCTGTGAATTCAAAATTACATGTGCCTTTTGGCAGGTTTTTCATTTTCTATTTATAAAAATTTATATAAATGCTTGCTAAGTGTGTGCTTTAATTTGATTTTATTTTCATAATTTGAGGTAGACTAACTTCTACTGCATGTTATCCTCCTACGCTGATTGTTCCGTTTAATTTTTAATGCTTTGTTGCAATTTATTGTTAATAACTAGGCAAATTTATAGAATTTTTTTTATCTTTTTTTCTGTTGGGTAACTGAAGCTTGAGTATAATAAAAAATAATCAATCGAAAGCTCAAAAATTCAAAATTACACCATACCAAGTTCAACGAAGCATCATGGTGTTTTTAAATATTCCGATGATAGAGCGACGATGCATAGTAATGCCGAAATCTTAAAACCTCCCAGTCCTAATGTTAAGTTTCTAACTAATGGCATTATAATTATGAAACCTTTGAATTGTGAATTATTTGACTTTAACAGCCAAACTTATACAGGGGTATCTGCACACCTGGAAAGTCATGGATTTCGGTATTAAACAAATTTTGTCATGATTTTAACTATTTTTATTAAAAAAAATCATGGAAAGTCATGGATTTAAATGAAATTTACCCTCAACCTCGTAACGAAAACCGCACACACAGTCATATTTTATTTAAATATAAAATGTTTTTATGGTGTTCTTTCAAAAAATGAAAGGAAGTTAACATCAATTCTAGAGCAAGTTATCTTTTAAACTTCTGTGATTGGAGAATTTTTTTTTTTATAATAATTTTTTTTTAGTTTATCAATTTAAAATTCTAGCTGAAGCAAGCCAGTCATTTTTTATTCTGAAATGAGAACAGAAAAATCACAGGTATTTCTTTTCTTTCTGATGAACAAGAAAAGTATCTTTAGAATATAATTCTACGGAGATAAAAAAGGAGAAAAAGAATTTATTTTTTTTTGCTTTTGTATTTTTTTCAGCTATTTTATTGCTTCAACTCCTTCTTTACTCTGTTTTTTTAAATTTAAAATCTATAAAAATGAAGATGCAGAGTATTCAATGAATGTTATTATAATTATTTTTTAAATTTATTGTGTTTTTGTCGGAGAAACTAGTAATTTCATTAAATCATGAAAAATCTTGGAATTAGTCATGAAAAGTCATGGATCTTAAAATCCAAAATGTAGCAGATACCCTGCTTATAGTAGATATTCAAAATATAGTTGGTAGGCAGTTGTAAATAAACAACATTTGTAGACTGTTCTAATAATTTAAAGTTAAAAAATTATTTTACTACATTTATTTTCTTTTCAAAACAATTTTCTAATGATATATTTATATGGTTGTCACAATAATATTTTTTAAATTTTTCTCATTTAGGAGTGGAAAAGAACTACTATTGACTCCAGTGGTGATTAGCCGAAATGAGAAAGAAAAAGTGCTGATTGAAGGTTCCATCAACTCTTTACGCATCAGTATAGCTGTCAAGCAAGCTGATGAAATTGAGAAAATATTGTGTCATAAATTCATGAGGTTCATGATGATGCGAGCTGAAAATTTTGTTGTTCTGAGGCGTAAACCTGTGGAGGTGATTATTTTTTTGAATGTGTCAAATTATATCTGTATCGCTGCATTGCTAGTTTCTCTGAAATTTCCTAATTTTATCCCTTTAAATCAAATCATACCAGTTTAAAAAAAGATGTATCAACTTTTTTCTTAATTTGTTTCTTTTTTCTATTTTTTAATTTTCTGTTGTTTTGATAGGTTTTATTTGCATATCAGTTTGAATTGAACCTAGTCTTAGTTCTGAAATTTATTGTTAGACTAATTTAATTATGTGTTTCACCCTCACCCCTTTTTAAATCCTTTATTTCTATAGCTCATTCTCTCCTATTGAAATTCAAACTGTAAATTTTCACATTAAACAATAGTCTTACCTGGGTCCTTCAGACCTCTGGTGTGCTGGGGGTGTATTTTTATGCAGTGGCCGCGAAAAGCCTTAAACCTGCCTTGCAGGTTGGCTGCCCACCTGCGATGACCTAACAGTAGCCTTAAACTAAATATCTATTTACGAGGCTCCTACGGGTCAGGGAGAACCTATTATTGTCAAGGAATTTTATTTTGCCTTTTAAAAGCATTGAATAGTCAGATAATCTTGCAATTTTTTAAAAAAAATTCCTGTAAAACTCCTATATCATACCATGAAAATAACCAGTCTCAGAATTGTCAGTAACAGTTATATGTGTAAAAACTTTATATGAGTAACTTTATATGTGTAAAAAGGTATGTGTACAACTTAATATGTGTAAAAAGTATTTTTCTTTATTAATAGCTGAAAGAGAAAATTAGAATGATTCTGAATATTAAATTATATCATTACTTTTCTATCATGCAAATATTTGATCAGTTGTAATTAAAAGTCTTAATTGTTTCAATATATTTCTTCCTTATTGTTTTTTTTCCCTATCAATAGATTGAATTACTATGAATGGGAATATTAATAAATAGATAAAGAGATAGAAAATTCAAATTTTAACTAATAAAAAGTGGAAAAAGTCCTAGATATATAGAAGCTCTGTTTTTAAAAGACATGTTGTTTCCAAAGCCTAGCTGAATCCCTGTAATACAAGTTAAGAGTCAAAGATTTCAAATATTGACTCTAAAGCTCCCTTTATATATATATCAAAGTTCGTACTCCCAAATACATGGTTCAGTGGTTTTGATTTGTTAAAGGAAAGGAATTCAAGTTTAATAACAACAAGATTTTAATGGAAAACAATAACACTACTAAACTTAAACTAACATTGTATTAAACTAAAAGTGTTACCAACACTATCTACTGATTTTACAGTGAAGCTTCCTCTTCAATTCAAAAATTTTAATAATTTTTCTAATCTGTTTAAATTGGAAGTGTTATATAATTGCAAGGATATTTTTTCTACTTTATTTATATTTAGTTATCATTAAATTAAATATGATAATTATCTAAAGTTATTTCATAAAAGCAAAATCTAACTAAGCTACTTTTCATTACAAAATATGCTCTTTCTGAGAAGTTTTGAACTATTGTAGATTCTATTTATTTTTTAATTTTACGTTATGTTTATTTTTATTGGAATAATTAATACCAAAGTTTATCTGAAATGTTTGCAAATTGTGTAGCATCTAATATTTACATGAATCTTTAATAATTTTTTTTTTTATGTAATGTTCTGTAACTGTCATGAAAATCCCATGATTGACTTTTTAAATGTGTGTATTAAATGATGAAAGTTAAAAATGTGTCTTAAGTAATGTCTTTAAATTGCAGGGATATGATATATCATTCCTCATCACAAATTTCCACACAGAACAGATGTACAAGCATAAATTAGTGGATTTTGTAATTCATTTTATGGAAGAAATTGATAAAGAAATTAGTGAAATGAAACTAGCCCTGAATGCTCGTGCTAGGATATGTGCAGAAGAATTTTTAAAACGAGTAAGTTATTGAAATATTAAAAGTATTTTATTTTTCAAACTAATAGAGGAAATTTCAGCTCTTTGTATTTTGTTCATTTTTTGTCTCGTAGGTAGAACTGGCAGATTGAATAAAAAATATCAAGTTTAAATTTTTGTTTATTTTTAAAAATTCACAATTCTTTTTCAGGTTTGAAATTTTTATTCAACTGTAACTTAAGAACTGTTTGAACTTGATTAAGTGCTATATTTTATTTAGCTCTATTTTAGCAATGTTTTTGCCAATTAAGATGATATTGCTATGGAATGAAAGGGAAAATGAATGTGTTATTTTAACAATAGCAATTATGTAGTAAAAACCCCATTATCTGGGTTCATAGCATTTTTAAAAATGTGCTTAAAGGTGCATTTTTCATTGGGAGTTTTTAAAAAGTGCTTGTTTAGAGTAGCTTATTATGGAATCATTCATTATTATTTTTTAAAGTTATAAGTTTTGCCAGTTAAATTGATGTTCTTATGGCTAGTTTTACTATTCAAGTCTATAACACCTATTTGAACACCTTTTTCACATTTTCTATCCTTTTTTTCACCTTTTTCACTTGTCATATTTTCTATCCTATTTTTCTGTTAGTAATCAGTGTTTTCACTACATCGCGAGAACGCGAGAATCTCGCATATTTTTTTCTTTTCTCGCATTAAAAAATGATTACCGCGAGAAATTCGCGCATTCTATAAACCAATTTCAAAATTCGCGAATTTCTCGCATTTTGAAAAAAATTTCTCATTGCGCCATTTAGAATAAAATCCGTTACATTTTTCTACCTGGATCTTTCATTATTTTCAACATCTGCCCATTATCTAGCTTCCCTATTTACCAGTATTGTTCAGAACCTTTAAGAACAACAGAACACCATCCCTCCGAACCACGAAACCTCTTTCAGAACGCATTTCTCTGCTACCACATGTTTACCGTAGTTAAGGTTTCTCCATGTAAGAAGTTCAAATTTTTTGCCCATAATGTAAGATGGACAAATACCTTGTAAAGGCAATATCTTCTACTCCGAAACGGACAAATGAAAATGAAACAAACGTGGGTAGAAACGATCAAAACGAAGCAAACACTCATTTGAGCAACCTAATGAGAATAGCTGATGAAAAAGTAGATGTAGAACATTTTGCATATGATGATGCAGCAAAAATATTCAATCCTTAAAAATTAGAAGATGTTAAAAATGTATTATAATTAAAGAAATGATTTTTTTTCAAGTCTCTTTGTGCTTTTTATTTTTAGAAATCTCACTTAACTTTTTGAAATCTCACCCTGTTTTTGAGAAATTTCTCACCCATTTTTTTTCTGCGATGAAAACACTGGTAATATATCAGAGTTTTCTTAATGAAATTTATAAAATAAAAATTGCTGTAATTACGATTTATATAATATTAAATTTGATACTTACTATCCCATAGAGCTGCATTCAAACAAAAATATTTTCAGTCAATAAAAAGTTTTTGCGCACATTTTTTTTTCACATGCCTTTTATTTTATTATTTTTTTGCAATTTCATGCTTGATTTAGTTATATATCTTTTATTTGCACACTGTCTGACACTTATTATAATTCTTTGTGCGTTTAAATTTTCAATAGCTCTCAATCAAACTGGTAGGTCAATGAGAATAATTTTGTTTTCGCAGATTCGTGCTTTAAAATAAAATTGCTGCTATTGAAGAATAAAATGTATAGTCACAAATGTTTATTGAAACAGTAATTAAAAATTTAGATTGTGTAATAATATAAGCTGTCAAAGTATTCAAAGCCTTAGGAACTTTTAGAAATTATTAATACCATTCTATGACCTTAAATTACATCTGATTTATTTGAATATTGAATAGTATTATGTTGCTTCAAAATGTTTATTGTTCACATTTGTTAAATATATTCGAAGCATATTAATGAGTAGAATGATATAATCAAGGAGAATTTTTAACTTTGTGCTACTTTTTTGACCAAAATAAAAAATGAAAGCGAACATTGAAAACAAAAAGGGAAAAAATTGGATTTCAACAAGTTTGATTTTGTGTTTCCTATATAGATAGTTATGTACTATGTAGCTGCTAACTTAATTCAATTTATCCGCTTTATATATTTTAGAAAATTGCCTTAAATGTTATAATACCAGTGGTATCTACCAAACTTATCTCCTTGGTTGATTTAATGTTTTATTAAGTATTATAAATTTTATAAATGATGCTCAACGTGAAAAGTAAAAGTTTTTAAAACCGAGTATGATACATTCCTTTAAAAAACTCCTGTTTTTGGAAAAATTTACCTAATCCCTTAAATACTGTGTGTATAAGAGAATTTGCCTAAAATTTCTGTTATTTTGTAAACTTTAACGTTTTTCATTCTTTCCAGATTTGAGGCTATGATATTATGCATAAGATAAGTAATCAAAATGAATAAAATTTTTAGGGATAATTATTTGCCCTAGTCCATGTTCATGTCTACATATTTCCTCTACTTGTTTCATATAGTTAAATTGAAAAATATTGTTAATGTATAAAGATCTTATCAAAATTTATATTTCTGTTGTATTTTGACACAATATCAAATTATGCTTAATGAATAGGACCTGCATTATATAACCTTAAAAATGTCTTTTAAACTTCAAAAAATGTGCTTTATAAACATAAAAATTGTAATAAAATAAAAAAATCTCTAATTAGTGAACAAGAATTTAAAGCATTATTTTTTTCTTAAATGTACATATAACTGTACTAAAATTAGTATTTTAAGAAAAATTAAGAGGCAAGCTAATTGAAAGATAGAAAATTGTTAAAAAAAAAAAAAAAACTTTTGTGGATGACAATGTTCAGATTTACTATGGTAGTGGCAAAAATATCAGGAAATATTAGTTCAAAACGATGATCTAGTACTAAAAAACTACTTAAATGTTAACGAAGAAAAAAAAAGAATTCAAAAGTGTTAAAAATGAAGTTAAAACACAGTTAAAAGTAGCCCCAAAATCTGAAATAAATGCTCTTAAAAAGTCAATCAGAATGTCCAAAAAATGTTAGACGTTAGAAACCCATGATTTATATTTATGACTAAGTAAAGCATTTTAAAAGCTATTCTTGTTCGGACTTGTTAATTGATGTTTGCTTTTGTGTATGTTTCTATGGTAACACTAATACTTTTTTCTTTTGATTCTCTTTACAGTTTTAATCCTATCATGTTGCGGTACTACTTTTACTATTTTTCCATTCTACAACGACAATAGCATCTGTTGATCATTTATGAACTGTCTTTATTTCTAAAAAAAGTAATTTTAACAAAATAAAAATCTTGATTTATAGCAATTTCTGCTTTAAGAACTTAAAATAGTTTATGAATTATAATTTTTTTAATGTTATTTTTATTTCAACTAGTAAAATTTAAGTGCCAAAATTTGAATTCCTGAGTGGTTTGTTAAAATACTTAAGAGTTTCATGCTCTAAAATCTGTATAACATCGGTATTTAAATATGAATATTTGATTTTGTCTTGTAATTTTTGTTTGTTATTAGCTTATAAGCTGTCATTGTGTTTATGTATCTATAGTTTATAATTGATTTTCAAAATAAATTAATTTTGATATACCATGTTATTTAATTGTGTCATTTAGCATTATTTAATTTTAAAAAAATAACGTGCATAAGTACTTTTATTGCTCTTGGTTTTGTTTAAAAATATATTTTACCACCTTACATTTTATTTCCTTCATTTATTTTTATTGTTTTGCTGAACATAGGTAGAGCATTAGTGAAAACAAAGCTCTGGTTAAAAATATGATTATGTATACAGAGTATTCACGCACCTGGAAAGACATGGCAGAATTTTTTTATATATATTTTGTAATAGTAATCTGAATACTTGGTTAATTTCCTCTTTCTAATTTTCTAAAAGGAAAAGTCCTTTTTTTAGGTGTGCTTATATACCTTAAATCAAAGTTATTTTTACTCTTACTTGATAATTTTGAAACTAATTATGATTTTCCTAAATATATACATATCTATATACATTTTAGGATTGTCAAAATTTGTTTTCACAAAGTGTTAGGATTTAAATTAAAAAATATTTTATGAGTTTAATATTGTATATGTTGCTGTTACGGCAGCATATGAGATATTGTAAATTCTGTGTAATATGCTAGATCATTAATTATAACACATTAGAAAAGTAAAAATTTAAAATAGTAAGAAAACAATTAAGTGGTAATATCACAAAAATTTATTCCTCTTTGTTTAATTTTTAAAATAAAGAAGCATTTTAATTTTTTTACTGGATATAGTATAAAACTTTTGTTTTCAAGGCTACTTTTGTCTGACCCAACAGTGCAGCAAAATGTCTCTTCAGATACATGGTGCGTAGCGTTTTTAAAACATGCTTGAAGGTGCTTCTTTTTGATTTTTGTTTTTTAAAAACCCTAAAAGGTGCTTTTTTCATGGGGTGTTTTTAAAAAATAGCTTAATTTTTTTCTTTTCGAAAATGAGATTTTTTTCTTTACCCTGACGATTTTTGGCACCTAATATGCAAAAGCGTGCTTTTCACATTGTTCTGTACAACATTTTCAAGATTCATTTGACCACAATCCATTTCGGTCTTCCGTCAGTCCATAGCGCATGAAAGCGACAATCATTTTACAGGTTTGATTAAATACTTGCGAATCCGCATGTGTGTCTACTAGTTTGGTACGGTTCTAACACTCTCACGTGTAACTCTGCTGCATTTTGCTAGATATGCTCAATTACTTCATTTCCACCCTCATTTTTCGAACCAAAAATTCTCTCGATCTTTTTAGGGTGGCTAATATAATCAAGAATAGAGTTTTTAGTCATAAACAAGTTATTTTATCATGATCATGTAAAGTCTTTCAAAATTATTTTGCATTTTCTTAATGTATATAGTGCTTAAAAATATTTTTTGAGTGCTTACTATAAGTACTTATAAAGTGCTTATTTTTTGTTGAATGATTTGACTATGCACCCTGAGATAGATTACAATAATCTTTAAAACCAACTTTATTTTTATAGCTGAAATTATTTCTGTAATTGATTAATAGTATTATAGCATTTAATTTATAAGGTAACTTCTTTAGCCAGTTAAATCTTTAATTATAAGTAAACTGTTTGGAACAAATCTATCTTGATAGTTTTTTTTTACCAGTTTTATTTCAATCTTTTCATTGCAGTAACCCTTATAAAGGGGTGCAGTGGCTCATTATCTGATACAATAAATTTATCTGATACAATAAATTTATAAAAAAATGAACATGCAATTCAGTGAAATAAAATTACTGGGCTTAAGCGGCTCCTTCCTGAGATTATTCTCACCTGACATTTAACAATTTTTTTAATGGTCTTTAAAACTTTTAACTAAATGCAGTATCATTTGCCTAGAGTACACATTTGTTCCATTTATATGAACTACATTTCATCGAGTTGCGGGGGGGAATATAATTAGGAACTTGAGAAAGAGTTATGAACTTGAATTTAATGAAATATGATAATCTTTCAATAATTCCACAGAAAATCAGAAAGATGTTGCTCATAGTATCGAAAAAAGTTTGTAGTGACTGTCAATCCTCACTATACTGTTGTTAAGTCTGGTTGAATGAAATTCATGATACATTTGCTCCTGTGTTTGTGATTTTTACAATTGGATAAAAGATTCAATATGGCTGTGCAACCACAAATTATAACAATTAAATTAAACATTTACGTTTTAGTTTTCAGTAATTGATGGATCAAATTGGTTGGGATCTCTAGAGGCATGTCACCAGGTGCAAGTTTTCAATTTTGCACAGAAAATGATTGGTTGAGAGAAAAATTTCTGTTAGATTGACATCATGTTTAAGAATAAAGGCGATTGTTCAATAGATCCAAAACGGATAGCAAATTTATTGAATTTTTAAAAGCCCTTTAGAGTCACTCAACTTTAGTTACTATCACTCAACTTCAAAATTTTAAAACTGGATTTTATTTTTTTCATCCTTTGATGCAGATTTTTTGTTAACATATTTTTCATACTTTTTCAGTATTTTGTATTAATTTAGGTCAGAATAAAAGAAAATGTTATATTTAGCATTTTAATAATTTTCATTTATGAAATGCAGCTTCGGATACTGATGTCCCTTTATACGTTTAAGGTAAAATTTCATCCATGACTAATTTCCAAACAATCATTTGTAAATTTGCAGTTATTTTGATCTAAAAGTAATTCATCATTAAAATTTCTTTAATTTTCAAAATCAATTAATAAATTTTTGATTATGAATGAAGAAAAAAAACTCAAACTACTTTTTCTGAATTTTATATTCTAGTACAAATATAATTCTAAGAAATAAACAGATTTTTCAGGTTTTATTAGACTGTTTTTTATAATTAAAATACCAAAATATAATTTTACTTGTAATTCCAGCATTAGGAAAAATATTTAAATGGGAAACGGGTATCCCATCTCCACCAAAGGGTTAAATGAATTTTTGCCTAAAAATGCAAGGAAATTTGGAAATATAATGAGAATTCATATTTGTAATTTTTACATGGTCAAATTATACTAGAGTAAGGGTTATGCCTAAATAAATCATTGTAGATATAAAAAAAAAGTCATATTGCTTATGGCTTATTTAATGCTAAATTTAATTTAAAAAAATTTCTGTTTTATGAGTTTGACTAAACTGTCAAAGCAGCTCACTTGGTTTAAAGACCTATATTGTCTATGCTATACTAGTCAAGAATTTTTAGTGTATACATAAGCAACTTTGAAGATAATGCTAAATTTAATTTTTTTTTTTTTTTCTGTTTTATGAGTTTAACTAAACTGTCAAAGCAGCTCACTTGGTTTAAAGACCTATATTGTCTATGCTATACTAGTCAAGAGTTTATAGTGTATACATAAGCAACTTTGAAGATAATGCTAAATTTAATAGTTTTTTTTCTGTTTTATGAGTTTAACTGAACTGCCACAGCAGCTCACTGGGTTGAAAGACGTGTATTAAATTGAGGAATATGGCTTTTATAATATTATTAAGTACTGATAAAGTCTTGGAAGGTGCTTATTTAAGATAGGATTATAAAATAGGTCATATAAGTCATTCCTGTCTTGTTCTAAAACTAGTTCGCATACAGCTTATTTTTGCTGCCAAATAGAGGGCACTAAAAACCAGACGAAACAGGAGAAAACAATACACTCAGTAATCTTCTAAGGCTCTATATATCAAAATGAACTTGAGTTGAGTTGTCATATTATTCATATATGGACTTCATATATTTAACCGAGGAAGAAATTTTTTCTGCATTTATACAAATACTTAAATTAAAAATCATCAAAAATAGCAGAGAATTTTTTTAAAAATTCTAATCTCTCAAGAGCAATATATGGTTTAAAGATGATAGTTCAGCCATACTATACTATTTCAAATACTATAGCATTATTTGTTTTTAGTATGTTGAGCTGTTCTTTATTTCTCTATGATTTTCCAGACGTAAAATCTTGTATAGTTATCCTAAAGTAACTCATACAAGAGCACAGTGAATGAGTGTTTCCTCTTAATATATTTGTGAATAATATGTGCAGAAAAAACAATGATTTTTTTAATGACATTTTTTGTTGAAATGTATAAGTTTTAAAACTTCATATATAACACAGCTTTGCGTAAATGTTGCAACCAAACTTTTAGGCTAGTTAGGGCGCATCATCAGGATTAAAATTGCATTGGAACCCATACTCGGAAATGTCGTCTGACGCGTGTAGGGACGCTTCCCTTGTTATGACCTGTTCAGACGAAACAAAGAAGCATTTCTTAATGGGGAGGAAACGTCACTAGCGGCATATGACGACTTTTCTGAGCTTGGGTTGCTATGCAATTTTAATCGTGGTGATGTGCCCAACTCGCCTAGAATGTAGTTATATTTACGCGACCCTCATTATGTATAACGTTTTTAAACTTGTGCATTTCGACAGAAAATAGAGAGAAAAAAATTCATTTTTAATGTAGCTCGGAACGAAAAGCAGATTGCAGGTTTGAATTCATCAACACGAAAGTATATAGGATCTGTTAAACAATTTCATGCAACAGCAAACAAACAAAAAATTGTTCTCCACTGTTATCAATCCGGATGCATGACTAGTTTCAAAAATTTAACAATGACCGATATTATTTAATTTTAATGAGCATAACAAGTCACACCAACATTGCACAGCAGAAACAATCCACAATTATTTTGAAATCATCACTATTTCTTCAAGAGATCACTAGTTCCACAGTCAGGTTCTTTCACGCAACATGTGGTACATTCCTTGGTTCGAATCCCGTATCCCCTCTCTGTGCATGCTTCTGAACATTCTTTTGAACAAGTTCTTGACATCATGACAAATACTCCTCCAACTCTTATTATAACTGCCTGGAAATCGAATTAAATTAACAATAAGTCAACACTAGGCTCTGATTTAACACAAAGTAATTGTAATATCGCGATGACTTAAGTTATCAGTATTTCGTGATAAATCGCGATATTTGTTTTTATCTTGTCAGTGTTATCTTTATCAACCGTCATGGTGATATCATATAGGATAGTTCTCGCAAGTTATATTCGCGCACAGGTCGTCGCGCTACCGAAGCGGGAGTGCTATCCCCTCCGCAGAGGATCAAATTTGTGATGGCAAGTCTTCGGATCATCCTCCGGGATGTTTCCCAGACCGTCGCCGATAGCCCATTGTGAGGCTCTACTGCGACGTAAATTAACAACAACAAGTTATATTGTTATTTTCGCCGATAATCGTAACACGTGTTCTATAATTATATTTGTCATAATCTTATCAATTTAATATTCAAACGTACTCACGCGTAGCTTTCTTAAAAGGTGTTTAAAGATGTTTTTTTTTTTTTTTTTTTTTGCGTTTTTTAAAAGTGCTTTTTTTATTAAGTGTTTGTAAAAAGTGCTTTATTTGCTTCGCTTGAAACTTTTTAAATTTTCAACGTATTCAAATCTAGAGTAGCACCCATGTATACATGATTGAAAATTTAATAAGCATTATTTTAAACTACAGGGAATGAATTATCACCATACTTCCCAATTTCAATCAAATAGAGAATGTGTTCTTCATTAAAACAATTAATTAAATATTCTTAAAACGCATAGTTGGCCGGGATAGCCTGGTCAGTAGGGCGCTGGGCCCATGTCCGAGAGTTCGTGGGTTCGAACCCCGCCGGCCGAAGACTCCCCGTGTAGTAAAGTGACTGATGCACGTAGAATCTGTCGAGTCGCAAAAGTCCTCCATGTTCCCATAACATATCATTACCTCTGGGGGTACTGGATTAGAGATCGATCGTTCTCCGATTCAGGTCAAAATTACGATCTGTGGGTAAATGATTGGATGTATGAATGGGTTCACCCTATAAACAGGTGTGACCTATGGTGTGCATAAGTCAAATTCTTGGCCATATATGGCGCCACTGGAAAACAAGAACAATCGCACCCGCTCTGCCTAAACAGACATACGTTAACAACAACAAAACGCGTTGTTACTTAACTGAAATGAAATGCTCAAAATAATATAATTGCTTAAATACAATCGACTGCTTTTAGTTTTAATTCATTTCAAATTAATAGAATGTATTACAACCCATTGTAGATGTGCATTTAGTTCAAATAATATATATTTTTACCTAAATTAATAGGACAGGGATAACCTAGTTCGTAGGGAGCTGAAACTCACGTTCGCATCCAGCAGGTCGAAGACTCCTTGTGTAGTAAATGTTGACTGAAATTTCTTGGGTCACAAAGTCCTCTATGTTCTCAAAACAAATATTACCTCTGGGGGTACTGGTTTGGAGATGGATCGTTCTCTGGTTCAGGTCAAAATTATGGTCTGCGGATGTATGAATGGGTGCACCCTTTTAAATGGGTGTGTGCAAAAGTCGAAATCTTGACCATAGATGGCGCCACTGGCAAACAACAGGAACAATCGCACCCCCAGTACCTTAATGGCCCTACGACAACAGCCTAAATTACCTGCAATTGTGTCTAATCGTTGTGGTACTTGCAATGGTGCGAAAATTGTTCAGAACTGTTGGAAAAGTTTAAGAAATGAAAACCACAAGGCTGCAATTTAATTGCATTATAATAATTTTTTAAAAAAAACTTGAATCAATGACTCAGATAAACAACTTACCTTCTCTCAGAAGCACTAACAATGGCAAGAACACCCAATAAGGGTTTAAATTTCAACACCCAAAAAAGAAATCTTTTGGACAGCTTAAGAGTTGCATTTTCCTGATAAAGTTAGTGGATGACGAGAGCAGTTCACCAAAAAACGACGAGGTTTAATTGCAAGGACTGCAGAAAGAAAACCAAGTTAACCAAGTCTTCGAAGACGAACGACTAACAGAAATGCTGAACGAATTTTAAAGTGTAAACAAAAATGCTAAGTATGTGTTAGAAAGGGTTCTCTTTCCTTTTCTAGCAGTAAGTTCACAGGAAATAGTTTTTTGATTCTCGACTTAAACTGTAATTCGAAATAGGATAGAAAAAAAATTATCAATAAGATTCTTTTTGTTAAGTGGGTACTTGCACTTCAAGAAGAAAAAGATCAGAAATGGATGGAGTTTTCAGTAGAAATGTAAACAATAACAATCTCGAGCTGTATGCCTGCTCTAGTTCCGGTTAGAATGCTTACTACATGTTATTCAGAGAGGCGATATTTTCAAACGGATAATTTTGTTTTCAATAAAAGATATACATTAGATAATTTCTGAGCTCAAATCTGCCGTATTTCATAAGATATTAATGTTATTATGTAATTCTGGTGAATTAGAAGTGAAAATTTGTTTTAGTTATTTAGAGGTATACTGTTAAAAAAAAGGTGATATGGTTACTAGATTTTGAATAACTCGCTTTTTTGGCAGTCTTAATTTGGCCTCTTTCCATTTGTTTATTACTGTTGGTTCGTCGCGTTGCAAGCTGTGCGCCATCTTACTTTAGTATTAGCATAATGTTCGAGGAGCAATATTAAGCTTAGTAATAAGTATTCAAATCAAATACTACGTTTGCAGGAATCTTAAAACACAATGTTGTGAGCCAAATGGCTTTAAAATACACTGGAAACAGTAACCCGGAAGTATAAGCGGCTTGCAGCTCCCCTAGTGTCGAAAATACTATCCATACCCGCACATGTGACCTATGACGTTAGCGCCAGCTGATCGTTTATAAGCAACACAGCGTGTACATAAACTAGAAAGTTAATTAACGGGAAGTTAATTACATATAAAGCCGTATAACTCATCAAGGTTGTTGAAATATAATTCTTTGTCATCCTCTTTTACTTAACTTAGATTTACTATTTGTTTATGTCTTTTACTGTAACCGTGATTTATTTTTTATTTGTGTACCTGACAACTTTGTTCTAGGAACTAGTTTGTTTATGTTCACATGGCTTCGTGTCTGTCCTTGTGTTAAGTAAGAAATATATAGTGGAAGAATTGAAATCTTTGTGAAAGAATATAGAATGTCTCTCTTAAGAGAACTGATAACTTGCCGGGTTTGACTCACTCGAAATAGAATGGAAAGAGCAGTTGCTAACATAAACAAATGCCACATTCCAACAACCATTCAGGATAGAGATACCCGCCCTACATCACTTGCCGGTATCCCATTAACACGTTGTTTTTTTTAATGTTTTTAATGACATATTAAGCTAAAAGATTCTTATAAAAATAAAATGCGGCGATACGATTTATTTAAAAAATAATATTATTTAGATTGAAACTTTTTTTTCTACTTTTTTTGCATCTTTTCAGTTTGATGGGGTTTGGCACGTCGTACGATATTGATATAAACAGTTAATATAACTCCGAAAAACGGCTGAATATATTTCTTCAAGCTTGCAACGGTAATGTACCATTTACATTTAAAAAGAACATGAATTTATAATTGATATAAAAACTTACCTTGCAATATTTACTGTTGTGACTACAGTGTGCTAAGTCATCGGGATTCTTTGGAAATATGCAAGTGTTATTGATCGAAAATTTCTCTTGTCGGAAATCAACTGCACATGTATAGCAACGTACTAAAAAGTAAAACACATGTTAGAGAATTGATATCCTTGATCAAAATCACAGTAGCAAACTTTTAAGCTTTTAGTGCTTGGTAAATAGGAATTTTAAAGACTACGTATTATTTTGCCCGCACTCTAAAAAACAATACCTTTTGATTATTATGTTTATTCTAAATATGTTAGAATTATCTATGAGTAGTGGCAGTCAAAATTCTTATTCTTCAAATTCAGTATAACCAATGCAGCGTTACGATTGAATCTGGCCCAATCACTTATGCAAAAGCTCCTTGACCAAATTGTTCTTTAAACTTAAACAACCATAAGCATCGCCGATGGACGAAATGTTACTAATTATTCTGCCGGCTTCTCTAGTCCCTCGAAAAGTATGTAGCCCTTAAGGCCTTTTTTTAGAATACCAATCATGTATAAGAACCACCAGAGATCAGTATGCCTAGCTGACAACTCTTCCGATTTTCCCGGAGGATTTTAATTTCATATTTAAAGTGGTGGCTAAACTCATGTTATTCCATGAGAATTTTTTGAATTATAATAATAATTATAAATGAATTTGAGCACCACGACATATATTTACAACAAGTATATAAAAGCTCGATAGTCTTTACGAAAGCGAATTTCAACCCGGTCAAACCATAAATATATTTTGCTTTAAAGCACGTTCTTACTGCCGTGCTGAAGTGCGTTTGATTTGTTAGATAACAAGGATTGGCCAGAAAATGGATGTGCGCAAGGTAATATTCTGCTGGATAATTTAAAGAAGTTTATAATTAATAAGGTTGATATTTAATTATACAATTTTAATGATTTTAGAAAATTAACATTTATTTAGAGAAAAAAAGAATAGAAAGAAACATGATTTGCCTGTTTTGCACTGATTTGCCCGATTTGGATTTGCACATGGTAAAAATATAAATTAACAAAAAAGTTTTTATTAATAATTACATGCAATTAACTCAATGATTTTATATAGAATTTAATTATTTTAGTTGGGTTATCCTTTGTTTTTTGTCAAATTTTGAAAGAGTTTATCTATTTGTTTTCTGGATAAATAAACATTACTACATATTCTTTTTATTGGGTATAATATGAAAAAAGCACAACTACTTCCACTTACTAGGAATAACATTTACCTTTTAGTTTAATTAATAAACTGAGTTTTAAATATGCTTACTAAATTCATAAACTTCGGTAAAACAACAATATAAATTATTTCCAAAGGAACTAGACTAATACAATTCCAACCTGGCGAGTAGCGACTTATAAACAAGACACTTCGTTTGATGCTTTTACTTGTTGCTGGAAATCAGGTTCGCAGAAAATGCTGTCTACTAGTTAAATTTAATAGGAATAACACGATCTGTGACGTAGGCTATAGTATACCCAATTCTATTCATTTGATTTAAAATGGTATTTAAATAGATGTTTTTAGAAACATTAGAGTTCCAAGTAATTAGTTTTTTTATATTTAAATTAAAATCATTTTTTTCCGTATAAATTTAAAGCAGATATTTTCTTCGTTTTTAATACCCAAATCCAAAAAAATTAAACAAAGAAATCAATTCTAAACCAACATATTCTAAAAATATCTGTTTAAACACCATTTTTAATAAAATGTATTGAAATATAGTTACCTGGCAAAAATGTTGGCACAATTTGAGCGATGACGCGTGGAACTTTTAGAAATTACATCCTTTTTACCCATGCCAAATTCGAATTTATCAAAATGAGAAGATGAAGTTAATAAATTATTTCTAGCCTTAATATCAGCAACTTCGGAATTATTTTACAAGATTGCAATATTTATATAAGAATGATTTTAAAATTATACTGGTCTTTAAAAAGGGAAGAAAAAAAAAAGCTTTTAACTTCCTACACTTATTTTGTTCGGTACAAAATTTGCACGTGTAAAACAGACAACATTCCTAAAAACTTCAAGCCTGAACTTTCAATTGTGCTAACAGTTTTGCAAATCTTCTAAGCTGCTAAAAGAAAAAGTATTAGTAGAAGTGTTTCCATTTTTTTGCCCAACCTCTGTAAGTTATTGTTGTAGTTAACAAGTAAAATCACTTAGCACTTTCTTCTTATTGTAGCACACGTTCTGTATTTTTTTTTTCAAGTACAGTTCAATATTTTTTCAAATCCAATAGGAATCGTTTATTTTGCTGCGATTTACAAATTAACAAAATGTTCTTACACAAAACTGCAATTATTATATAGACAAATGTTTTTTTTTTTGTTTTGTTTTTTTAAATGTTGATTTTTAAGAGTAATGAAAAACAGAGATGATTGAAAGGCAACCATGGGGGTTGGTGAGCGGAGGCTTTTAATAAATTAAAATAATACTAAAAAGCTTTTGGCAGTAATGTAATAATTTTTGTTTCATTGAGTTTGAATTGTAACAACTTAAAAAAAAAATCTTTAGCTGATTTTTAAGATAACCTTTACATAAAAGTGATAATCATAAAATATTTTCGTTCAATTATATATAAACTATTGAAAATTGTTGATATTTTAAGGTTTTTATACTTTTAAAATAAAAATAACTATAGAGGATTATGGGTTTTAAAAGAACAATAATTTAATAAATAAATAAATAAATAAAATACGATTCACTACAAAATGAAGAAAATTGTAATCGCTCCAAGGCGATCACAGGTTATTGTGTTTTCATCTTGGACATCTTTAACTGTTGATCCTGAACAAGTAGGTACACAATGTCGCAGATATATTTAAATGCAGCTCAGACACATTCTGTGTAAATTCCTTTCATAGACATATACATTAGGCTGAATAGACATTGAACAGCCAATCGAGATCAATATTAACAGTTTCGGATTGGTACAATGGTGTTTGAAGGAGATTATTGTAAGCTGCATCATACACCCGTTTCGGATGCACTAGTTCATACATGAAATATTATTTGAAAGCTAGGCTTTTTTTTCAATTTTACATGAATAGTGAATGAGTAATTTATATTGCGTGGAAGACAGTCTACGATCTTGTGCAAGTTATTGGGTACGTTGACAATGGATCCTTTATCCCTAACTGATGATCAACACCCAGTTCTCGTATTTGCATGAAAGGGGTTCGGAGAATCACCATTCGCTCTTCGGTAGGGCTCAATTCTCTCAACTACTTTGGTATTTTTTTGAGATACGGGCTTCATGCTTGCGTTTGCGAACGGAATCCTTTTGTTTTTCCGTTTGTGTGTAACGCCTAAGGTATTCCCGTCTACTCTCTTTGGCTTTGGTTTTTTCAGCCTCGGTAACTTTAGGCCTTGGCATCGTTTTTTCTTTCTTTTTTTTTCTTGCTTCAACTCTAACTTTTGGGACCGTGTCAATCAGTTTGGACCTTCTTTATTTGTGATATTCACCTGAATTAGTATTGAAAACGATCCAGTTTGAACTGTAGGTTAGAAAATTTCTGATTTTTAATTAAAACGATAAAAACAAAAATTTCGTTCAAATGTTGAAATTCTCTTTTATTCACAACTCAATAAGTATTTATGGGATCTCTCTGGTCCCATATCTCAAAAATAAACTCACCAACTTAATGCATAACAAAATTAAAAGGGCAAAAAAAGAATTCTGAAAAGAAAAGAATCAAATAGCAGCTGTCGCCATAGTAACACATGCGCACTATTACTCTTAATTATTGTAGTTGAAAAGTGAGGACACCATGAAAACCAAGCCAAGACCCATTTAGCGATTGGGTAAAAATTTGAAGTTTATTAAAATTATTGGGAGGCACGTGCCAGAGTTGGCCGTTGATTACAGTAATCGATTACAACTGTAATTGATAACAGATAATTACAGCTATGTGATCAATTACTTGTAATCACGATTACAAGTAATCAATTACTTGTAATCGTGATTACAACTTTCAAAAAATTTTGATTACAGCTGTAATCATGATCACAATAATCAATTACTTGTAATCGCGATTACAAGTAATCAATTACTTGTAATCGTGATTACAACTTTCAAAAAATTTTGAATTACAGCTGTAATCATGATTACAATTTTGATTATAGTAATCAATTACTTGTAATCATGATTCTAAGTAATTGCGATTACAAGTAATCACAACAAAAACGATTACGAGTAATTATGATTACAAGTAATCAAAATATATGATTACATGTAATCATGATTACATGTAATTTGATTACATGTAATTGTGATTACTTGTAATCAAACTATACGATTACAAGTTATTACGATTGTATACTATAGTCAAATTTTTTATGTAAGTATTCATGTGTTTACATATTTTTATGTACATAGAATGTACGCACGCATGAACGTACAATTTGCGATTCCTATACATACAATGTATGCACAAACGTTGTTTGTACGTACAATATTCATAATTATATTGTAATATACTTAATGCAATGCGCATATGCTTAGTACATATAATTATGCATTTATGATACATGTACGCATGTATGTTAGTTTGTACAAAAAGGCAATGTTTTGTATCTTTGTATACATAGACAATGTATGTATGAACGTATATGAAAATAATGTTTATGCGTTTGCATGCTTTTATGTACTTAAGTGCATATATTGTATAAATTTACGATAATAGCACGTATATACAATGTACGTTTGTATATAAAATTGTACGTATTTGCGTACAATATGTAAAAATGTTATTTAAAGGTACAATATATGCACATAGTTGCGTAAATAAAATGCGTACATGTATACATGCATATTTATATGTACATCGATATATGTGCACGCAAAGTATGTACTTATGTACAACTTACGTATGTACTTGTATAACTACATACTTTGTTAATACTTATGCGCATGTAATGCATGGATGTACAAAAAAATAGTTATATGCACAATGTATGCATGTGCATACAACGTATACATGTACATAATTACAAGTAATGTACAAATACGTGCGTACATTTAAATATATGTAATTACAATATACACATACATTGTGCATACATTAAAAAAATTTATATGAGTAAA